TTCCCTAACCTTCTTAACGAAGTTCTTATTAATATAAAAGATATAAAATTAGGATTTTACCTAGGGATAAACCTTCTTAATAGAAATTCGTATTATAATATCGAAATTAGTAATAGTAATAAAAGGGGGGCTAGCGCCAATATATTAATAACGAATATTAATTTATATTATTAACTATTCGAATCCCTCTTATATTTCGGTATTAATAAGGCTAAAAGCGTAGTTAAAAATATAATTAAAATTATTTTTACTAATAATTTAAAAAAAGAAGAGTCCCTTATTATTAGTCTTATATATATTATTATATATCTAAATTTAGGGGTTGAATTTCTATTGCTCCTCATACTATAAATAAATCTAAAAAAGACTATATAATTTAATATATTTATTATTAATTTATTTAATAGTATACTAAACGCCCTACTTATCAAATTCTTTAAGAATTACTTAAAAGGGATTATAACTAATAATTACCTCCCTCTTTAAAATATAACGAAGGTTCTTAAACTATCTCTTAATAAAAATAAGGCTAAGGAACTTTACGCACACATCTTTAGCAATCTTACGATTTATAATAGCGGGTCTAGTAAAGTATATACGTACGAAAACCTTATACTCATCTTTAAAAACACTACGGATTTAAGGGATAATACCGGGGGGGTAATTATAATAATCCTCTTTTAATATAAAAGTCTATTTATAATTATATATTACTAACGACTTAGTATACCTCTTCTAAGGGCAATCTCTTTTATTAATTGAAATTAATTGAGAATATTCTTTACTATAGCGAATAGGGCTAAATAAATATTAAAAATTAATTCTAATTGGACTAAAGCCGTCGGTAATATAATTAGAAGAATACGTTTTAATATAACTATAGCTTTAAAATACGCTCTATTAATATAGTAATATTTCGAAACTTTTAAAAATATTGTATTAGGTCGTAAATATAAAGAATATAATAGGTTAGGGATTAATAACTTTATTACCGTCTTTATTATTATTGTTAGACTCGCTATTACTAGAGTTATTAAATTCGCTAGAATTACTAGAATCGCTACTTAAGGGAGTTTTACACAATTCGATTTTAATTTAGGTAAATATAGGCTCGATTAGGGTAGTACTTGTTAATTAACTAGGATCGCCCGCACTACAGTCGTATATGGATTAGGTCGCTATATTGGCCATTTGTATTATAATTAACTAGAGAAATATATTAAAAAGTAATATACTAATCTGTACTATTAATTAAATAAGAACGCTTTATTAATTTAATAATAATTAATAATACGTAATATAGTAGATTAACGAAGGTAATAAGGGTAGTAATATGAATTAATAAATAAGGTAATACAATAAAGTATATACTAGAATAATCGCTAAGTTAGATTGGCTGGTCTGGGTAGCTAGTATAGTACGAAGGTAGCTAGTACAACCCTCAGATGGGCGTAATGGGTTGAAATCTAGGAGTTTGGCGGGCGAGGTACGAGCGGGACTGGTGGTGGGTGTGCAGGGTTAGGGTTGGACGTGGGAGAAGGGGTGGGGTACAGTCCGACAAGACGTTTCTAACAGTACGAGTAGACTACCTCTAAAATTTTACCACAATGAACGGCCATACTCCTATTAAGCTTTCCATTCATTTCAATCTCTTTCTAAACCCCTACTATGGGCATCTCCGTTACCTTCTTCTTCAATTGCACTTTTTCAGTAATCCGGAATCCAATGCTGGGTGAAAACGGTCACATGAGTCTTTTTATCTAGTCTTTCTATATGTGTACTTGCTCATGGCTGCGCGCAGCTGGCTTGGACAGGTTCGTGTAGGTTGAAATGGATGTCGAGGAAGACGGCGAAGAACGTGACTGCCGAATCCCCGAAGTGGAAGAGTTGGTAGGTAGTATGGCGCGCCCTTAACATGGATATTCTCAAAGGTACCTAGGATAATCGGAAACACCAAAAATTGGGACTACTATTAGGAGACCCGACCGGCCCTCTTCGAGATTGAGCATGTAAGTTCATTCGTCAACATTGCAAAACAGACAGAAACGCAACACTTCAAAGTTGTAGGCAAATTTGCAAACCTACTACAGGTGCGTTGATCGTCCTTCAACCAAAGATACCAATATCGACTTTCTGATGTCCAGAATGCAGCATTGTCGAGAAAGCGCTGAGTGATAACGAGTTGTGGCTTGGGATTGCCAGTTTGTTTGTTTTTGGTCTTTTTGAGGAAAAATCAACATCTTCTCAAACAAAACCCATTTTGTCCATGTGAAACTTGCTTGCAGTATCTCCAGCAATGAGGACAGCTTATGAATATGCAGATCGACTGGGAGATGCGCAACCCCCTTTCACTTATGGCTTCGGTCTCTCTCAGGCAACTGAATAACGGTTTTTGAACCGTTCATCTTATAAGGCACCGTGTTCATGGTTGTTTGGGTTTGAAGAATGGGTTTGTTCGAACCTCCATGCCCAGTTCTCTATTCCAAGCACTGCAAAAAAATTGTCTTGACTCTATCACTTACGGTCTTCATCTGCTATGATGCCTCAACCACTCGGGGATACGGGCAGGATGGTCGAAACTGCAGTACCTACCATGGCTAGCAGCACGATTATCTTTCACCTCATTGCCACTATTTGCATGTCCCTACGACTCTACTCCAAGCGTCTCTCAAAGACCAAGTACTTCCTTGACGATTGGGTGCTACTTTTTGCCTGGGTAAGAATGTCTCTCCCACCAGAGCCTGAAGAACGCCCAAAGCTAACATGTAAAACAAAAGGTTATAGCCACTGCCTACATCGTCCTCGCCCTCTACGACACCAAATACGGGCTCGGCTTCCACACGAGCGACATTAAAAGTTTAGGCAAAGAAATTTACTTGCCAATGTTTGACAAGAACCACATGATTCAACTTCCGTTGTTGTTCACAGGCATCACCATCTGCTGGGTTCCCAAGCTCTCGTTTTTCATCACGCTTCTTCGGCTGGTGAGAAACAAGACGCAGAAGACGGTGCTTTGGATCGCTATGACCACCAGCTCCGTCTTTCTCTTTTCTCTTTTCATCGTTCAGCCCTTTGCCCAATGCGGGAGCGTCTTGGTCGCGCTCTTGAATGAGGATGATAGTAAACACTGTGTTCCGCACAACATAACCGTACCCATGACTTTGGCTGCGTATGCTTTTGCTGCTCTTACGGTAAGCTATTCCGACATTTCCCTTTGTTTGTCCTTGAATATGATACCTACACATGGTCATTATTCAGTTAACTTCCGTTGCTAACACCGGACGACTATCCATAAGGATCTCCTTCTCTCTATGGTCCCAACACTCGTGGTATGGAAGCTTCAAATACAGCGCCAGCAAAAGATTGCCATCATCTGTGCTATGAGCACAGGATGTCTGTGAGTTTCCTCTTTTTCCAGCGTGTCCATCAAGGTGCCTAGCTTGAAGAAGTAGCAATCGCCAGTCGTTAACCCACCGACCCCCATGTCTCCAGAGCTGGCATCGTGGCAATCCTCAAAGTCATAAAAACCTACGAAACCTTCTTTCTCGGCCAACAAGAACTCTACGCAGCCGGCCTGGGAATCGCTTTGAACTCGGTCGAAGTCAGCTGCACAATCATCGGGGCCTCCATACCCTTCATCCGACTTTTGGTGCCTAAGTTGACAGAGGATAAGAACAAGAAGAAGAGGCATGATGGGGAGGTCGTGGTCATGGGTGTTTTGCAGGACGACAATAATCAGCAAAGAAGAAAGGAGGTGCCTGTAAAGTCGTGGTATGGGGGGTCGAGCGGTGGTTCCACGTTGAACGGGCTGTATGATACCAGGTATTCGAAGAATGATGATTCGGTGGCTATTTTGGAGGTTGAGAGAGGGATGTAGGACTACCTAAGGTGGAAGGCAACCAAGGGATTGTGAGTTGGAGCATGTCAAGAGGATGCCGGGGGAGGTATCTGACCTGGACCGATGGTGTAGGGAACAGAATGTTGAAGTAGGTTACAGGGCTTTTAGCGCTTACGGGAATAGCCTAGGTCGCCGTAGGGCTGTGCCTGTTTGTGACGTGATAGCGCTGCAGGCCCCATCTGCCCGTCTCGGGGCACCTCATCTACCTCTATGTCGACGGGATCACGGCTCCTCGAACACCAACAATCGGGCACCAGACCATAACCACCTAACCCCTCAAAGCGTCATTTCATCGGTAAGTCATTATCACAGAACCAGGGCTCGATATCACCGTTTCTCGGTTGCTTCCCGGATCTTACAATGCCGACTGGACCGTGAATTCCTCCTTTCCAAGGGCCATTGTTCACTCAAAGCGACCGGCAGGCCGAAGGTTAGAGGTAGCACTTTCTTTCTGTAACCTGCTTGCGTGACACTTTTATGGCTGAATAGTCCCTTCTTCACATTTCAGGACATTCGATCGAGTCCACCTCCCTCCGACAATCACTTCATTGATCACGACTTTCGTCTTCATACCCGTCCCCAGATAGGGGAACATCGGGAGCAGTCATCACCTCGAGACAGGCACGATCAAGTCAGTACATACCACAATCACAAGCGTTATTCGCATATCCAGAAATCCGACTAAAAAGCAAAAGAAGATAGCAAAAAAAACCAACAAAAAAAACATACAACACCTGGGATTCGCTGGTCGTCACCGACCCAACTACTAGTCAGGCCCTCACTGGCTTATCTATGGGAGAGCGGACGGGATCCCGAGTTTTCCAGTGGGTATGGTCGTATGTGTTTGATATGCCTTGCTTGTTTGCCTATAACAGCGGTTAGATCTCCCTTGGGTCTGTCCTTTGCCAGTACCATTGAAGTACATCAATATTAAAGGCCGACGCAGTTAGCTGAATCTAGTTCGACAGTTTACTTGGGTACCTCCATACTTGGTATACCATCTACAAGGCGGAGGGAAAGAGCATAACGTGCGAACAAAAACGTATTAAACACCAGGCTGACTACAGACTTCCACTTCAAGTTATCTGGGATTTCGACCCCTAAGCCCGTCTGATCACTCGTTGGGCTCGATGACTCGCTGATAACTCTATGATTGTTCTCTGACGGGTGGGTAGTAAAGAGCTGGGTCTTTTATCTGAAGGTAGGTAGGGCTCGCTTACATCAGAAGGCATATCGAAGGGGTGGTGCAAGCGGGATCGCCGCTCCATTTGGTTTTGCCTAATACCCCTGATGCCTGGCACACATCCAAGTACGCTTTGGACGCATATGATAGATACCTATCTACGAGGTAAGTCCAGTATGCATACAGATCTTTCGTTCCGACCGTGTATCTCTTGTTGGGAAACGCTTCTTTTGCATCTTTCTCTCTCTACATACTGCCCCAGCTAACGTCTGCCAACCAAATGGTGTTTCATCATTGTCACCAACTTTCTTTTTTCTTCATCAATCCTCGCTCCTCATTTCAATCACCACCCCATGCCTTCCATCCCACTCAGTCTAGCCCACTCCCCCACCTACCTACCTCTACTTACTTCTCCTCCTCCTCCTCCGGCTTTTCAAGCTGCTCAACAGCACTCGCAAAGTTCGCAATCCGCCCACTCGCCAAATCATGGCTCCACCTCCCCTTGCTCTGATGCATACTAAACCTACTAGCCGCATCTGCCGGGTTCGTCGGCGGCGACGCCGACTGCGCATAAGCAAACGAAACCGCGTTGCTGCTGGGATCCAGCTTGGTAGTCCCCCACGCACTCGCGCCCTGGGCGAGCGCATTGAGCGTCCAGTGCGTCGCGTTGCTTCCGGAGCCGGCGAGGACCTTGTAGTTGACGTCGTCGGAAACCTGGGGGTAGGTGCGCGCCGAGGCTTTGCGGCTGGAGACGATGATGGTGGATTGGTAGGGCCAGGAGACTAGGAGGGGGTTGTTGACCACTTTTCATATAAGCGTCAGAGATTGGAACTGCGGGTGGCAGGTGAAAATGGGGGGATGGAGGAGAGGGACAAAAAAAAAGACTTACTGACGCCTCCCCAGGCTAGACCCGCCCAGCCGACGGTGTTGGGAGCCAGGATTTGCAACAGGATGTCAAAGTTGCCGGCGGTGGCGTTGTCGGGGATGGCGAAGCGGTAGGCGATCTTCTCGGGGCTGATGAACTCGGAGTAGCAGATGTCGGTGGAGGCGTCGCAGTACTTGGCTGATACAGTGTCTCGAGACTGAACGGGTTTGGCGAAGGCGGTGTTCGTGTTGCCTACTACGGCCAGAAGGGTGGCGGCGAGTTGAGGGAGACGCATGGCTGCTGCTGTGGGAGTTCAGGTTCACAAATGAAGGAGAAGATACGGTACTGTGGACAGTGATGGTTCCGGAGCGGAAGGGCTTTATGAGCTCTTGCCGTTTTTATAGGGAAGGCACAACGACCGTGCTTCTTCACGAACAAGGAAACAGCCAAGGCAAGGTAAGTCAGGGGTCGAATTGCCCTGCCTGCCCGATTATTCTACTTGCCTTGGCTTGTTTATAATTTCATCCAGGTCAACGCACCAAAACGTACAACATGTTGGTTGGGTATGTCTGCCATAAAGGGAGGTCATGCAATATGCAAGCTCCCCACGACTTGCCTTGACTGGCCATTTGCTACCCTGATTTGACTTGCCTTGTGTGCCACGTTGCAAGAAAACGCATAATCTTCATCCAGTGCCCGCTACCAAGGTTGTTTGTCGTCTGGAGTCGTATGTCTGGACTTCATCCTGATGTTACGGTGTGAATGGCTGTGGTGTAAATTGATTGCAGGTGAACATCTCCAATGCATTGACCGATACCACATGGCGGTTTCACCGCAAAGTTGGAGGATTCGATGAATTTTGAACATGCGTACACTCGTGTATCTCGAGCTTCATAACAGGTTCTTGGAAATATCAGAGACTCCATTGAATCGTGTCTTACTCGTTTGTCCTCGACCAGCGTGGCTTGTTGGGAGCCCCAAAGCTTCAGAATTTGTAATTAACTCTTAGTCCTATCTTCCTACAACGGAAGCTGGATATTGCCATACACGACTTCATCTATCTCTATCATGGAGAGAGCCCATTACGCGGTAGAGTCAAGCCGGTTTCGACCAATTGATGGCAGCCCGGACCTGCAGGCTAAAGTACTTTGATAGGAAGGTGTCATCCATCCCGTGTCCGCATCTTCGGACGTCCGACTGCCGGAGATTAGGCCGGGATAAAACTGTGCCAATGGTTTCGTTCCGATTTCCAAGCGAACAGATTCCCCAGGCCACGATCATCATGTAAATCTCCCGCCGTTTCAGCCACTTCAAATTTCATACCAACGGCTTCTCATCATCAGACACATCATCCCTCAACGGCGGCGCCACCATTACCTCTCCTCTCTTGATCTCAATGATCGATATAATCGGCAAAGCCATCATCAAGAGCCCCAACAAGCTTCCAAAACCCAACTGCTTCTCCCCTTGATCACTCAGCTGCACATCCGGCTTCCCAAACGCCTGCGACAGCAAAAACACCCTCACGGCCGCACCCACCGCGATTCCCATCATCAAGAGCATGCCCACCAGCTGCACGATCCTATACCATTTTTGCCTCCTACTCTGCAAGTACCACGTCGCCAACCCAAACACCACCACGTTGCCAGCAACCGTCACGATCGTGCCCACGTAGTCCAACCCCCCCGCTGCTACCTTCCCATTGTTATTATCCTCTCCTTTCACAGAATCAACAGCCCATATACACCCCACCGGCATCGTCCCCTCCCACCCTTTCCTCTTCCCTTCCAGAACCACCACCCCATACACACAACTCAGCGCCAGATTGACAAACATTAAGCCCTGTCTCATCCACCTCAACACCCAATCCCTCTTGAAGTCTTGGACCAGCGCCAAAAGCGTGGCGTTGTGTGTGGCCATGGATAGTAGGGAAAGCATCCAGATGATGAAGAAGTGGTAGGGGATGATGTGCGAAGAGCGCGCCAGACCGAGCGATTGCAGCGTGATGCCAATGAGGATTTGCTGGTCGGAGTAGGAGGCGAGGAGCTTGCGGCGGATGGTGGAGGGGCGGGAATTAGAAGAAAAAGTGGATTGGAGGATTAAGGAGGCGGAGAGGAGGAGGGCGATGGTGGCGGTTAGGGAGGAGGAGATTAGGGCCTATCGAGGGGGGTTGTTAGATTTGGAAAAGGAAAAGAAGAAGAAGAAGGACATTAAACTTACACCTGCACCCGCGATGCCTGCGTCGCTGGGGGCTGAGGGGGGGATGACGGTGCAGTTTGGTGGTGAGAACATTGTGAAGTTAAATAGCGGTTGTTGACATGACAGTCTAAGGGAGAGAGAAAAAATACAGAAAAAAACAAGGAAAAAAAACCAAAAAGATAAAATCTCGAAAAGAGAGTCGAACTTATGAACGACTATGCCGCTATACACAACCAAAAAGAAACAAAGACCGTTGAAAACTGAACAATCACTGACAAAGCCGCCGAGAAATGGAAACATTTCTCTTTACCCGCGACGAAAGGGAAGAGGGGCCCAAATATGACTTTAAACTTCTTGACTCTCTCTTGTTTCCCAATTCCTTGTGTCAGGGTCATATTCTAAACAAGGAAAGGAACGCATAAAGTTGACAAGTGACAGACAGACAGGGTGGTGATGTGAAACAATCTGGAAGCGCGGTTGTTTGACGAATCGATAGCGGTTGAGGCAAATGATTGGCTTACAGTGCCCAGTTAAAGGTTGGGATGAACAGGGGGGACAGGAGAGCGGGAGAGCGGGAGGCAGTGCCTTTGCGCCTCCTCTGATTGACTGACATTTGGCGCTTAGTGTAGGTTTGAAGCTGACGTTGGAAGAGGTAGGTTGTTTACCTCTACTTGCTCAGGAGTAGATGAGGTTTTTAGTCCGGAACTCAGGGACAAGATGACGGGAGGTTGTGACGGGTCATCGTGTAGGTTTGTTCTTCTGTTCGTGGGGAGGGTAACTTGGCTGTACAGTCCCCTGTAACTCCCTGTAGAGCCGCTTGCACTGATAGTGTAAAGGAATTTGCATAACGGTAGAGATATTGCGTGACAAAACCTCGACGCATTGTGCGACGGTGTGAAAATTTTTCCTTGTAGTTCAATCAATCGATTTTTCAAACGTATCTCATTTTTCAATTGCTGACAGACTGGAATTGGGTCTTGAGACCATGGAGTGATCACGGTTCGTCCCTTCCCATACCCAGACCCTCGACCTTCAGCGCCGATCGCATCCCTCCAGCCTACAAGTAAAGTACGAACAAAACAGCACCCCCCACCGGACAGCTGTTACCTCGCTATCGCCCAACCACCTAAATCTGCTGGGGTTCGGATAACAGTGCATCTAAGCAAAGTAGCCAGCAGCTCTTTGTTTCTTTTTTTTTTTTTTTGTTTTTTTTCTTTTTTTTTTTTTCTCCGAGCATGTCCTGGTCAACATCGATTGATCAGGAGCAAACCAACCTGGCACATAACTCATAGCTGACCTCCCCACAAACTCCAGCTCCATACCTCTACCTACATACGGTACCTATATACACCCAGATAGCCTACGGGCTCGCTCTGCTTCCACTTAGGTTGTCATGACCATGACCAACAAACACCAAATAAATTATGCTACGATACGATCCGATGGCATCCATACCCGGCGGCTGGAGGCAGCAGCCTAGGCATCGCCATCACACCTACCATAGAGGTAGTCTCGCAGGAAAAAGTACTTACGGTCCAAGGTAGGTAGGTAGGTACATAGGTAGTAGGTAGGAATTTCTCTTGGTCAGGAATAATTTATGATGGAAGAGGACTGACTGAAGCTCAGTTCAAATCAAAAGCCGGTAGAAATTGTAAATAGTTGAGGGTAAAACACATTGCTACTTAATGTCATTATATGGGATGTCTTGATGGAGAACTACCCAGTCTTGGTGCACCTTCATTGGAGAGGAAACCCAAGAGACTTGGAATACAGGCCAGGCGAGAGAGAGAGAGAGAGAGAGACTAAGGCCATCTACCTAATATGTACCGACCGTGACCCTAAAGAAGACAGTGAACATTGACTCACGGCGGGGGGCAAGGGATGAGCTACCTATGAGTTTCCTTTCACGGCGGAGGCTCATTTGTGAAATCACGAACACCACTCCCGCTCGTTAATGGGCACTACCGGGAGCTTTCCTTTCTGTTTTACCTTCTTTGTCGTTCTTGTATTTATTTCACTTTTGTTTCTTCAAGTGAAAAAAAAAAAAAAAAAAAAAAAAAAGGAAAAAAAAAGCAATGGTGTAAATGTGCACAAGGTTTTATCTCTATTCTCACAGTGGCGGATGGCTGGCTTGGACTTTGATGGCGATTGTCGCTAAGGGGCAAGAGTGTTTGTTGGCTTAGCACGCGTGAAGCTTTCAACGAACTTGAAAGTTCCCCCAAAGTTCGCGAAGAGGATCGATGTACTGTTAAAATCTTTTTGAGGGCGAGCATTCTCTTGAAGGAGTGTATGTGTGGAATAGTATGATAGCAAGATTGCGAGCCTAGGTGTGTGTCTCTAGCCTTGATGAAGAAGACGGAGTATCCCTGAGGTAGCGATGTTGGGTTACTTCAGTTTTGTTCCTTCATCATTCGTGCTGATCGGTTCCTCTGGAAGTTTTGAGATCTCGAGCCCCTGATAAAGTTTGTTTGCTAGTCCCATCCGTTCACGATTCAGATCAAGAGTCAAGACGTACTATAAACGCCCCAAGACAGTTAACTAGAGGTCATAAGCAAACAAACTAGTATTGGAACTTCCCAAAGAAACAGCTTACCTACCTAGGCATGTCCATTTAAGAGAGCAAGTTTAACGTATAACTGACCTTGGCTAGCCTTCGTTTGTCAATCGACAACGAATATCTCTGGAAAAAACATGCTTTTCATTATAACGAACCCAATCAAAAACATCCCTTTGATCTATGCCACGCTGGAAGTTGATATCCAGTACTCCACGCTACCCATGCCATCAAACGACAATCCCATACGCCAACCGCCCACTCGCAACCATATGCTTTTTTTGGCCCCCAATCCTGCTAACCCCTTTCCCATACCATTGTTGAACATGCGGCAAGGAAAACCAGCTCCTTCTCATAGCACTTGATTTAGGCCTCCCCCCAGATCTCATCCGCAACCTCTCTCACCAACCTCAACTTGGCCCTCTGATCGTCCTCGCTGAGGGGGTACCCGCTCTCATGCGTACTGAAGCCGCACTGGGGGCTGACCATGACTCTCTTCAGCGCCTCCTCCCTGCTCTGTCCGGTGCCCTTGGCGACCCAGCTTGCAGCCTCCTCCACCCTCCTCTTCACCTCCTCCTTGCTCTCCAACTCCCTCAGCTTGGTGCTCACCACACCCAACACGACATTCTTGTTCTTGGGAAGGTATTGCAGGGGCTCGAAGCCGCCGGCGCGCGCGGTGTCGTACTCGAGGTAGAAGGTGTTGACGTTGAGTTCTTGGAAAAGCTTCTGGGCGATCACGTCATAGGCGCCCGAGGCGAAGTGGCGGCCCCCGATGAAGTTTCCGCGGCAGAGGTGTACGCCGGTGTGGAAGTCGGCGGGGAGGAGGGAGAGGGAGTCGTTGTAAAGCTTGATGTAGGAGTCAAGGAGAGTGTCGATGGAGATGGTGTTGTCGGGGTCGGAAGCGTAACCGGCGCGGAACTCTTCGGAGCAGAAGTCTGGAGGACAGGGGGTGTTAGTTGGTAAGAACGGGGGTTGAGGAGTGGATTGGGGGCAGAAGAACACATACAAGCCAAACCAGGATCATCAAACTGCACATTCCTCAAGCCAGCCTCATAGAGCATCTTGAGCTCCTCCTGATAAACCTTGGCCACGTCGGCAAAGTACTCCTCGTCATTCGCATACACGCCTTCGGCATAGGCCTTGCCCTGCTTGTAGCGCATGTGGAACCAGGCCGGGGTGATCATGGTCAACTTGATGTTCGCCCACTCCTCCTTCGGGGTGAACTGCTGCACCAGCTTCAACTCGTGCAAGTTCGACTTGCTTTTCTCCCTGTTGTGTCTCAACTTGGCGCCCGCAATGACACTGTCGCCAGGCATCACCTTGCGGTCCTTTTCGATCAGGCTGACGACGTCCGGGTGGTAAAGGCGGAACATGCTGGCCTCGGCTTCCTGCAGAGCGACGGACCCTTCAAACTCGTCCCACATCAAGCCCCAGAAGCGGGTGCGGTTGAACTCGCCGCTGTTGACGGCCTTGAAGCCGAGTTCTTGCTGGAGTTTGACGACATTGCCGACCGCCTCCTTTTCGATGGCGGGGAGTCCGGCCTCTTCGGGGGAAAGGCCCTTGTCGCGGATGGCTTCACGGGCGTCGAGAAGGTTTTGGGGCCGCAGGAGGGACCCCATGTGTTCGGCGCGGAAGGGAGCCATCTTGATTTGGTGTTTGGGGGACTGTGGGTGTAATTGGTGATGGAGAGAAGCTGGAAAAGAGCTACCTGAAAGCTGGAACTGAAAGGGAGAGCTCCCTGACTCCAGTTATAAGGCAGAGGGCAGATACATCCGTAGCAAGGAGAGGGGTCAAGGGCAGATCTTTTTTTTGCCCGACGACCGTGATATGTCCGAGTCCCGGGTCCAATGGCTGCCCCTTGTTAGACCCCGGATTATGGAACTTGACCTGTTCGGCAAATAGCACCGGCCGGAGCCTGTGGACGGCACTGGACGCAGCAGTGCCATGCTACGCTAGAGGAGCTCTGCTAGCGTGAACGAGAACTCTGATTCCATGTCGTTGTGGGCCGATAGCGGTGCGTGGGACCTCGGGATGACCCTGACATGTACATTTTCATCGTAGGTCTGGGGCCAATGTTGATGTGTGAATTGGTAGACGGTGCTTGGACGTTGGTGACCACGAAGAGGGAATGATTGGGATCAAATCACCAGAGTTTGCTGTAGGTAATGGAAATAACTTGAAGGGTGCGTCTGGATGGCGGACGCAGGGTGAACAAATCCGGGCAAATCAACAAAGTCGTTTCTTTGCTTCTGGCATGATATACGTACCATAGTATAGGTGCGGAATTCACCACTCCATTCAAAAAAGCACAACCCTTGGATAGGTACCTAAGCAGTTGTACCAATTGAAGCCGTCGACTCGGAGTCTGCCTTTTGCAGTGCGGTGATGTCGTGTTGTGGTGGGGTATTTAGCGGGGGTTGATCGGTTGACCACTGCCCCGCTTCAACCTCAAGCAGGGATCAAGCTAGCTGTCTTGCAGCTTTGTCAGCCCTTTGAAAGTGTTGCCCGGTTCCTCTAGGATCACCCCATTGTCAACTTCTCACGAAATCACTCCCCTCTTGTGCCGGCGGCAGGTCAGATTTGCAAACCTTCACAATTTCTCTGGCAATGGTTTTGGACCCTAATGGTCCCTTTCTGCTCGTTCCCCGGAGGCAATTGTCAGCGGTGACAGAGCCCGCGTTTGCCCGCGCACAAAGTAGTGAAAAATGAAGGGCAAACAACAGAGTCGAAGTCTCCTTTCACGTTACATTGGATCCGGGTGACGGCATGCCATCAAGACGCAGTGTCCCGTCGCAATTTTATTGTTTGTGGAGAACACTCGGATGCAATTGCCTCCTGCGATGGAAGAGACAGCGGCAGTGTTGGAGCTTGGAGGTGGATGCTGTTGAAAACGGCAGGCAGGAACGGCTCCAGTTCCACCTCCGATCTCGTTGTCGCATTTCTCGCTCCATTCAGAAACGTAGAAGGGACACTCATGGAAAAAGAGACGACGACTACACGCACCCTTGCACGTCCCAAAGGGCCTCCTACATTTGCCAAATCCTCCATCACAAATCTCAACCCAGTCAAGATGGACCAGATACGACACCATTGGCAGCCCCGTGCTGTGGGAATGGGAATAGAAGCACGGCATGAAGCAGGCTGTAGGCCTCTCGCATAAGGCAGTGCCATTTGGGCCTATTACAGTCGCTAACCGCCAACCGGCCTGTCGCAAATGTCGTCCAGCCCCAAGCGGGGACGTCGACGCCGGTAAACGACTGACATCCTCGACGACGTGAAAAAGAACTCCTGTGTCCAGTTCCCTCGACTCGACAGGCAAGGTCGTTTTGTTTTCCCCCTTCATCTGGTCGTTTAACCTCATCCCAACTCTTCAAGGAAGAACCCAGCGCACGACAGCTTTGCAGGACGGCCCAGGCTGCGTTCGCCGCGTGTCCACTCCCGCCTGTCGTCTCGTTTCTCTGTGTTGTTGACGGACGCACGTTCAACGCGCCTGCCATTCCGTCCGCCCACCAAGCTATCCAAGTCCTCAATTTGTCCCAAGTTGGAGCAGTTAGTGCTCAATCACTCAGTCAACCGTTGGTGAGCTTCTCTCTCAAACATGTTGATCCAAAAATGCTGACACCCATATAGCCCTTGTAAATAGCTGCTCGACAGCCTCAAGCACAAATCATCCCCTCGCCCACCATGGAGGTCTTCATCAAGAACCTTCCTCGAGACCTCTCCGAGAGAAGCTTGACAAATCATTTGAAGCCGTTCATGGACAACCTCGGCATCCGTCACTATGACTGCAATAAACGGTCCAACCAACCCTTTGGGAAAGTCATCTTTATCACCGCCAGGGAAGCGCTGGACTTCCTCGCGAAGCACCCTCGTCTTTCTATCATGAATCAGCAGGCCGAATGCAGGGTCAGCAAGCCCCAGCCAAAGGATCTGAAGAACTTGGTCAACGGCATTCTTTACGAGGCTGAAGAAGAGGAAAGGCGAAAGAAGGCGTGGGAGGAGAATACGAGCAACAATGCCCGGCCTGCACGCACGCCAACTTTAGCACTTGATGCCGACGTTCTTGACTGCGGACATTGGTCCTACATCGACGGCAACTTGACCTTCATCACCGAGTGGTCATCCCCCCTGCGCGTCTCAGCAAAGTTCGCCAAGCACGACCTCGTCATTACCTCTTTGGTTGGATCTCAGGTCTGCATCCCATACCGAAGCATCCAAGAACTCGTCTGGTCGAATGATGGACACGTCGCTGTCACTCTCACATACGCCCCTACGTTTCTCTCGCCGGAAATTCGATCCGATCGATTCAGACAGAAGATGCGCCTCGAGGCATGTGATAGTAACCACGCCAAAGTATCAAAATTCTGCCTCGTCTATCATTTCAAGGTTTCGGAAAAACATTTAAAACAGAACCAGGGTAGCTACAGAGGGAGTGACTTCCGTACCGCCATTAATGGACTGAATGAGCAAGAAATGTTCTGGGTCACGCGTTATACATTCGCCATTCAAACCACATCTCCGCAAGATGCATATCCAGTTGCAGTTGACAGGCTTAGGGCGGCTCTTCTGGAGTACGAAGGTAGAGATACGTTGCCTTACAGCCTGCTCTTCAATCTCCAAGCGCTGGTGTACATGTCGTATCTTCATCCGACAACCGTGCTAAAGCTAGCCAAGCGCTTAGCTGATATGTTCGAAGCGGCCCGACGCTCAGGTCAGCGGCAGGATCCCATTTCGGTTGATGCCTTCAAGGACCTCTTCAAAACCATCGACTGGCCGTCGCCGAGCCTCTCGAGCGCAGAGGCGCTCGCTCAGTTTGAGGTCGAAGGGATTATTGAACACTTGAAGAAAACGGAGAAGCGCATGCGTGAGGGCTACACCCTGCGGTTAAACGAAGAGATTCCTCCCGGTCTTACCAAGATCTATCGGGCACTTGTCACACCAACCCGAATCGAACTTCACGGGCCTGAACTGGAAGCCAAGAACAGGATCCTTCGAAAGTTTCCAGAACACCAGGACCACTTCCTTCGAGTCCAGTTCGGCGAAGAGGATGGACAGGACCTCTTTTTCAACTCGGCGGTTTCCATGGACGCCATATATCAGAGATTTAAAGACGTCTTGACCAATGGCATCTCAGTTGGTGGGCGGGTTTACAGGTTTCTCGGCTTCTCCCATTCCTCCCTCCGAGCACATAGCCTTTGGCTAGCGGCGCCTTTCATTTACAACGGTAGATTGCAATTAGCTAATAACATCATTGAGGGTTTGGGCGATTTCGGCAACATCAAGTCGCCAGCGCGACGTGCGGCACGCATAGGCCAGGCCTTTTCAGAGACACCATATTCCGTTTCGCTCGACACTCACGGTATAGATGTGATAAGGCAAAGGGACGTCAAACGAAACGAACGCGTGTTCAGTGATGGCGTTGGGATAATTTCGCAGGGTGCCCTCGAGGTGATTCATCGCGAGATTCCCGAATCCAAGGGCTATCCCAATTGCTTGCAGGTTCGATGGGCTGGAGCAAAGGGCATGTTAGCTCTTGATGCCCGGCTACCTGGGAGGCAAATCTGTATCAGGGATTCCATGGAGAAGTTCCGCAGCCGTGATGAGGAACATCTCGAGATATGCGACATGGCTTCAAAGCCAATTCCTTTGATGCTGAACCGTCAGATGATCAAGATTCTCGAGGACATGCGCGCCCCTGCCCAGTGGTTCATGAAGCTCCAAGAAAAGGAACTCCAACGTCTTCGGGCAATCACGGATAACGTCCAGAACGTGGCAACCTTTCTCAAGCTGCAGTGTGTCGGAGATTCTGTACACCTCAGCCAGTTTCTCAAAGACCTTGACAAAATGAGCATCGACTACCGGAGAGACCAGTTTCTTCGCGGTATTGTCGAAGCTGTCGTGCTTAGAGAGCTACGCTTGCTCAAGCACAAGGCTAGAATCCCGGTTCCCTATGGCGTTACTCTGTTTGGTGTCATGGACGAGACAGGCCTATTGCGCGAAGGCGAAGTATACGTGACTTTTGAGACCGTGGACGGTCGCTTCAAGGACCCTCCCACTGCTGGCCCCGTTGTGGTGACCAGGTCTCCAGCCTTGCACCCTGGAGACATCCAGATTGCCCACAATGTCATTCCACCGGCAGGGCACCCTCTCAGAGAACTGAAAAACTGCATCGTGTTCAGTCAAAACGGTGAACGTGACCTGCCTAGTCAGCTGTCGGGCGGTGACTTGGATGGCGACACTTTTAACGTGATCTGGGATCAGAGGATCGTTTCCACACTCAAAACTTTCGCTGCGGCCGATTATCCACGTGTCGAGCCCTTGAAACTGAATCGCGAGGTCACGTCAAAGGACATGGCTGATTTCTTCGTGGAGTTTATGAAAGCCGATCACCTGGGGGTAATTGCGGTTCGGCACATGATCCTCGCGGACGAACGCGATAAGGGAACGCAGGATGCAGACTGTCTCAAGCTGGCAGCATTGCACTCTAAAGCGGTTGACTTCTCCAAGTCGGGGATTCACGTGGATATCACCGAGTTACCAAGGCCACCAATGTATCGGCCTGATTTGTAAGTGCCGACATACCTTCCTGCTTCAGTTCCCTGCTAATGATGACTGCCAGCCTGGTGAACGGGCCAGACATTAAGATCCATGACAAGTCCACGATCGACATGGAAGAGCAGTACCTTAGGCAAGACGACGATGATGGAGACGACACACCGCGGTACAAATACTACAAATCGGACAAGATATTGGGACATCTTTTCCGTGCCGTGGATGAAAAGAAGATATGGACCAAGAACATCAAGCTGGAAGTCCCATCGGGTGGTGTTCCGTTTTGGACGGAAGTGGAATCATCCCTGTTGAAACGTATCCGCGGTATTGGACAAGTGCGGTGGCAACATCGTCTTGACGAAGCCCGCCGAATCTGTGAAGCGTAAGCCACCAGCCTTTCCCCGTCGTTGCTCATGGTTGCAACCAACTAACATGATTTGTCATGTTATCAGTTACGAAGACGCCATAAGAGACGCCATGGTAGAGTTTGCTGACTCTCCGACCCAGCCCCTCAAAGAGCTGGAAGTTGTCATGGGATTTATCCTAAACAAGAAAGGCATTCAGAGCAGGCGGCAGCGAGACAAGTCATCAAAGCTGTCGGACGCGTTTGCCCGCATAACCAAAATGGTGACAAATGTATTGCGTCCCTCCACTCCGCCTGAGGAAGCTACATCGGAGCTCCACGCATTGGAGCTCTGCCTTGCCTGCTTTTACGTGGCAGGTGAGAAGAAAAGCCGACCCCAAGAATCCTGGAAGCGTCAAATCGCTACAGGCCTTGAAAGCTTCCGGCTTGTGGCGGGTTCGGCCTTGCTTCTCGAGATCAAGGCGCAGGAGCAAAAGATCAGGCTTAGACACGCCGCTAGAAGTGGTGGCTTCGTCGGTGTCCGGGGAGGGAGCCGCGTTGCAGGTCGGGGAGGTAGAGGAGGCCATCGGCAGCCCGCTCGTGTGGATGTTAACACGGCGGCTGAGGCGGCGACCATACAAACCGCCGATACTGGTGCTGCGTTTGATTCGGGCTCACCAAGCAGCACGTCAGCGCCAACGACCCCGAGCTCCGGATCCAACTACACGCCTAGTAGTGGGTCGGACACGCGAGATGGCATATTCAACAGCCCTACAAGGCTATACCCAGGCTATCAGCCGGAATTGGTGCATGCACAGGCTGCCGCAAGAACAGCGGGCACTTCAGGAGGACAGGTGCCAAGTGCGGCGCCTGCAAACATGCCAGTTAGATTGACACCTGCGGACCTGGTGGCCCAACTTGCAGCTCAATATGCGCAGATGCAGATTTATCAGAGAAATTAGGATTCTGCGGACATTGAAGGCCAGCGGGGAAGTTGACGGGTGGGTAGCGGGGATTCAGAGGTTGAAGAAGAGGAAATGTTTTTGGATATCACGACTTTGATGAAACTCCTTTCTTGTCTTTTACTCCAGCTCACGTTTGGGATCGTTGGTTATTTCTTGCAATATAAACAGAAGTTGAATACCTCAGCCAGGCAGGTGTTGTTGACGGGAGAGTGCTGGGGTCCATTTCCCGGCTGTTGCCCGGCACCCCGGATGTGTACCCCGCAAATTAGATCTCCCCTCCACTAAAATGCCGGGCGACAGCGGCGGGAAAATGCTTTGCCGCCAGCAAACCAAGAGCCGAGCCGCAGGGCCGGAGATGGCGGGCGGTTGCACCCATCCACTCCGACGTCACTCCGATCATGATTGCTGTGTGATGAGTTGCAGAGTATTTGAATGCCTGTTATCTCACAAATTCCAACAGTTTCAGCGGTCGAGTGAGTGATCATTCCCACCTCCATAGCAAATATTCCGGTGTAAACAAACCGTCACCAAACAACACTTTGTCAGAAACAACAGGCCCACAGCGGGAGTTGACATCGGGTCTTAGCGAATTGCTCCACCAAGAACGAGTTGGCCAACATCCAGACATCAACCTCGTCAATAAATCCCAAGCTTTACAGGTACTACTTGTTCTCTTGACTTCTCATCACCACCAATTCCAGTATCTCAAGAGACCCAACAGCAGCAGCAACAATGGCGGCCGCAAAGAACGGACAGGGAATGCTCTACGTGACAATGCAGCCCCAGGAGGGCCTCTCGCTCGATCAGTTCCACGAATGGTACAACAACGAGCACGGCCCTACCCGTCTGCGTCTTCCCCAGATCTTCTCCAACGGCCTGCGTTACCAGGCCACCGACGGCCAACAGCCGCACTTTCTGGCCGCCTACGACGTGACCGACATGGCTCACCTCCTGACGCCCACCTACCTCGATCTGCGCGCCAATCGGTCCCCCCGCGAGGCCGAGACCATCGGGCAGGTCAAGGTCGACCGTTTCTTCTTCGATCTCATCTGGACCCAGGAAGCCCCGTCCTTCAAGCCGGCCGAGCAGTGCACTGACGCCGAAGCAGAGGGCCGCGTCCTGGTGGCTGTCGACGTCTCGCTCAACCTGACCCAAGAGCCTGACGCCGCCGAAAAGGTCATCCAGTGGTACCAGGAGGAACACATCCCCATGCTGTCCAAGATCCCCGGCTGGCTGCGCAGTCGCGTTTTGCGCACGCCTTCATCCATCGAGGGAGGTTCCAACGCCGGTGAAACCAAAATCATCACCCTGCACGAATACGCCGCCGAAAACGGCCTCGGCGGCCCCGAGCACAAGGCCTCCATGGACACGCCCTGGCGCACCGAGGTGTTCAACAAGTACATCACCACCAAAGGCCGCAGGACGTACTCGCTCTTCTACGTCTTTGGTCCCGCGCCCCGCGACCTGCAGCACCTCTCTGCCTTACCCGCCTCGGCCGCCTTTTCCGCTGTTTCCCCGCGCCTCACGACCACCCCTGGCACCAGCCCTGACGGCCCCATTATCAATAGCTACATCACCACCCCGCACGACGGCCTGATTATCCCGTACCAGTTAGAAGGCAACCCCTCCCCTTCTGCCCCCGTCATCGCCTTTTCCAACTCCCTCCTTACTTCTCTACACATGTGGGATCCCCTAGTGAAGATCCTCAAGACGTCTCGACCTGACTTGCGTATCCTCCGGTACGATACGCGCGGTCGACACTCGATTCCGTCTCCCCCTCAACCAGCAACTCTAGACCTCTTAGCAGATGACCTTGCTTCTCTTCTCGATGCTCTTCGCATCGATAAGCTGCAGACTCTGGTAGGCGTAAGCATGGGCGGCGCCACGACGCTCAACTTTGCTATTCGTCACCCTTCTCGCTTGCAAAAGTTCGTGGCGTGCGACTTTAATGCTGCGAGCTCCGAAGCCAATACCCAAGCGTGGAAGGATCGGATTGCCGTTGCTGAAGCTGATGAGGGTAGAGGACTGAGGGACCAGTTGGCGGGGGTTACGGTGGAGAGGTGGTTCCATCCGAATACGATGGAGAAGAAGAAGGAGGTGGTGCAGTGGATGACGGAGATGGTGGCGGGGAATAGTGTAGAGGGGTTCAGGTGGAGTTGTCAGGCTTTGTGGGGGTATGATTTGCGAGAGAAGATGAGGGAAGTCCAAGGGGTGGAGGGATTGTTTGTGGTGGGGGAGGGGGATGGGAAGGGGGCTTTGGTGAAGGCTATGGATGGGTTTAGGGGTCTATTGGGGGAGAAGGGGGGTGAGTTGAAGGTGGTGAAGGAGGCGGGACATTTGCCGATGTGTGAGTGCCCGGAGGGGTTTTGGGAGGTTGTGAAGGATTTTATTTGAGGGCGGACCGAGAGTTCAGTTCTGTATGATACGTAATGAAATGAGAGGTTTTGGTTCTTTGGTGTTGAATTTCATGGATGTACGATTTGTTGTTTGTTTTTGTTCAGGTGGGAGGGAGTTCTATGCGTGGACACGGTGGGTAGATGCGCCGAGAATTTTTTTTTTTTTTCTTTTTTTTTGGTAGGTCCATGCCACCTGTCAAACAAAGTTCGTTAGCCATCAGCCTGTTTTTTTTTTCTTTTTTTCTTTTTTTCTTTTTTCGTTTTTTTTTTCTTTTCTCTTCCTTCTTTTTACTATATTCAAGTACAGAACCCTGGAAGGAGAGGTGAAAACAAAGCAAAAAAAAAAAAAAAAAACAAGGGGAAAAGGAAGAGAGAAAAAGAGAGAGAAGAAAAAAAGAAGAAGAAGAAGAAGAAGAAGAAAAAAAAAAAAAGAGAGAGAGAAAAAAGAAACTCACATCCCCAACACACCAAAACACACCCAACCCCTCCTCACATCCCATCATCCGTCTACACCCATCCGCATGCTCAAAAGCTCCAGGGAGAGGCGGACCGTTGTTGTCCAGTGTCTTGAGATGGTTGAGAACCTTCCAGGCACCGGAGGTGGATCCGAACTGAGGGGCGCGGGGGGAAGGGCAGATGAGTGTCACGTCGTCAAGGAGATGGTCGGTGGTGCTGAATTCGGTTACGTTGGGTTTGTAGTTGGAGTTGAGGACGGGGTTATTGAGGTCGAAGTTTGGGTCGTTGGGGGTGTTTAAGCTGGGGGCAAGGATGTCGTTGTCGGTGGTTGTGGTGGTTGTGGTAGCGGGTAGGGCAAGGGCGAGAGAAGCATGGTATTGGAGGAGGGAGAAGAGACTGAGAAAGAGGAGGGATCTGAGGGAGGACATTGTTGAAGGTGGTGGGTTGTTATTGGGTGGGGGTCAGTGGAATAGGTATAATAAGAAGCGAGACAAGAGACGAGAGTTGAAGGCGTTCAAGTATAGAAGGACTATTGGCTTTTGTCAGGAAGGATAATGACTTTTATAGGGCGCGTTGCAAGATTGTCCTCGTGGTTCAACAAAGACCGGAAGAAGAAGATGTATGAACCACGTAGTGTCCAACCTAAGTCGGGTATGTCGAATTACCAACACCATCATGTGTCTTTGACAGCCATGACAGGCAACACGGACAAAAACACACGCGGAACGCTTTGCGGCTCATACAACTCGACTGTTCAAAAACCATTGGCCACTCATGGCGAAGATGTGTATATCTCTCTCTCGGAAGCCGGAAATGGGTCGTTTGCCTTGCACGAGATTGTCATGTGCCAGAAACCAAAGGGGTCAGTCAGTACGCTGGTGACACTGGCCGATTGCTTGCCTGCACACGGAGGTAGCCTGTTAGTGCAACCAGTGAATTGGGATCGCGACTGAGCTGTTCAATTTGAGACTGATCAAAGGGTTGGTAATAGGATTCTCAGCTGTCTGTAGAGTCTTGCGATGGGAATCCATAATTTTAAGCATCGAACCAGCAAAAGAACAAAAATACGTACACGAACAGACGGAAAATCATAAATCCAAGAACGTTAGTCAACAAATATTAACACAGTACCAAGCAGGACAGACAACCGAGATAATCAACAAGCGAACAAAATCACCCTTGTATACTAACCCCCATTGAAGCCACAACAACGACGCTCTGTCACCGCTTAGCAAACTCAAGCCTACTCCTCCAACCTCGCAACATCCAACTCCTCCCAAGGCCTCTCCACCAACTGCTTCAACGCCTCACAAACCTCTCCCAACACCACCTCCGCCTCCTCCTTCCAGCACTCCATCGTGACAATCTCCAACACCATCTCCTCGCCCTTCTCATCCCTAAAAGCCTGCACCTTCCACTCCCTCAACGGTTCCTCAAAGCAATACATCGTTTCAAACTCCGCCTTTGCTCCAGTCTTCTTTTCCTCTCCCCCATCCCCAGAAACAGAGGAAAACTCCAATTTCTCCACATGCGCCACATCCTGATGCACCACAGTATCAAACCACATATCTTTTTCCAGTTTCCAATCCGTACAAGTCTTGACAATCTCTTCCAGCCCCATACAATCATACGCTGAAGAAGCCATATGCTGCGTCTGCATCTCCACCAGCAAATCGTGGCCTGTACGAAGAGGTTTGGACGCGTTGTTGAATTGGATTCGGGCAGGTACGTATTGCCATGTCGGGCCAGTGACGGCATTGGTGTCCTTGATGCCAGGGACGTCGACGGAACGACCGGAGGAGACTTCGCCGAAGAGGACGTCTGGACCACCCACGTGGCGAGCGAGAGCCAAAGCCCAGGCGGCGGAGGGAAGGGTCGCGATGGTGACGTCGCGCGAGCGGGAGGAGATGTTGACGGCGCGGTGGATGGCGAAGTGCTTACGGGATGTAATAGGGGTGGAGGGGCGGAAGCGGGTGATTCCGCTTGAGCCGGAGAGGAGGTTGCGCCAGTAGGGAATGGCGGCGGGGATGGAGTCGCGGAGGGTGTGTGCGACGAAGTGGGAGAAGGGGTAGGAAGGAGGGATGGAAGACTCTGGGGAAGACAAGTAGAGTTGGTGGAACTGGTGGAGCATGATGGGGAGGCAGATCTCGTCGTATTGGGCGTGCGATAGCCGGAAGGCGAGCGAGCATTGGGAAGTGCCGTTGGTGATGAAGAACCATTTCACAAAGGAGGAACCGTATGGCATGCGGGTTTGCGAATCGAGGCGGCACACTTGGGAGGCGAAGTCCTTGACGTCGGCGTCGGCGTCGATTTCGTACTCGGCGATGGAGGTGATGAGGTTGTCGATGACGGCGCCGTAGCAGGTGTTGGAAGCGTCGCGGACGAAGACGGTGCGTAGGATTTCGTTGCGTGCGACGACTTCGTGGCACGCGCGGAAGAGGGCGGCCTTGTCAACCATGCCGTTGAAGTGCATCAGCTCGTAGCGGAGAGAGAAACGGGGGAGCTCGACGGTGCCGCGGACGGCGATCTCCTGGAGGGGACGGGTGGGGAGGATGTCGGCGATGGTCCACGACTTGTCGACCAAACTGTTCTTGACGACCTCCATGACGCTGGCCTTGTTGTTGTCCTCGAGCAGAGAGAAAGGCTTGTACTCGGTCTCAACCTTCTCCGAGGCGTCAACCACGGCACCGGTGGTTTGCATGACATTGGCCATGTCGAACAGCGTGCGGTTGGCAAAAACCTGCGCAACGCTAATCTTGAGACCCTGCTGGCGTGCCTCCGACACCAGCTTCATGGCAGTAATGGAGTCGCCACCGCGGTTGAAGAAGCTATCGCCGAGGTAGATGCTATCCTCCTTGACCTTGAGCAGCTTGGCCCAAATCTTGCGCAGTGTCTTTTGCTTGGCCGAAGTGGCAGCAACAGCGGAGGGAGCGACGGAGGAAGCAACCTTCTTCTTGGCCACCTCGGTCTTGGGCTCGGTAGCCTTAAGGATGCAGAGGGAGGCAGACTCGCCGTCGACCTTGAACTTGGCGAGCTGACCAGTCTTGTATAGCTTCTTGCTTCCCTCGTACCAGGCCGGTTTCTCAGCGAGAAGAGTAACAGGCGCAGCAAGTTCCTTGATGGTCTCAACAACCAACTCGCCCGCCGCACCAACGGGCACCAGCCTGCCAGCATCAGCAGCATCAACAATCCACACCCCTTCCACATCCTCCGCAGTGATACCCCCAACAAAAGGATCAGACTCAGCAGTGAGGTTCGTAGCACCCACCAACTTCTTCACCTCCTCCTGATCCTTCTCCGTCAAACACTCCAACTGTCCCACCTTCTTCTCCCCACTGCCCTCTTCACACAACTGCCTCACCACCACCTGCAACTGATCCAACGCCTTCTTGACCACACCCATCTCCACCGTCTTGGAATCAAAAGACGCCATGACCAGGAACCCATCCGCCTCCAACGAGCAAACCAGCATCAACGCATACGTATTGAACTTCAACGCCTCCTGCGCCGCCTCGCTATCACCCGCCGGAACCAGTCCATTCGCCGGCGTGTTCTCGGTAACGCCCACCTCGCCCGCAGCAGGATGCAGCACAATACCCGTCCTCAACTCGCACGCTTGCAGCGCGTCGTCGGACAAGCGACGGATGTGCTGCAGACCTGCGTGTTCGTAAGGGATCTGCGTGATCATTTGTTCAGCTACCTGCTGCAAGTACTCGGCGACAGTCTGCTCGCGATCAACACACACGCGAACAGGAACGGTGGTGATCATGGGACCTTCAATCTCATCTGCGCCGACGATGGGGGCGTTACGCCCCGTGAGCGTCTCGCCGAAGACAATGTCGTTGTTGCCGGCTGTGTATTGGCTGGCTACCAGGGCCCAGGCAGCGCGCACGATGGTGGCGAGGGTGATGGTGGTGTTGGGCGAAGAAGGGGGTTTGCGCCCGTCGAGAGAGACGTAGAGCTCCCAGAGGGAGTCGGCGCGGGTTTGGTACCCCTCAAATGGCAAGGCGGGGAATTGCGAACCGGTGGCACCGGCGAGTTGATCCTTCCAGTAGGCGTCGCAGGCGGCGCGGTCGAGGGTGTTGTTGAGGTAGTTGATGAAGTGCTTAAATTCCGCGGCGGGCTTACGCGGGATGAGACCCTGGTAGGCCTGGTTGACGCGGTCGACGACGAGGGGCATGGACCAGCCATCATACAAAGCGTGGTGCATGGTCAGGACAAAGTGGTAGGCGTCGCCGTCCTGGATGAGGCCGTAGCGCACGAGAGGCTTGCCGAGGTCCATTTCTTCGTTGCGGTCGGTCTCGAGGTACTCGGCGAGGGTAGGGGCGGAGTGCCAGTGCAGAGGCTCCTTGACGACGACTTGCATCAGGCCGCGCGGGGAGTGGATGATGCGGGTGCGGAGGATGGCGCAGTCGGCGTTGATGGCTTCAAAGGCGGCCTTGAGCTTGTCGGCGGCGGCTTGGCCTTCCATTTTGAGCACACGCTGGGCAACGTAGGCTTCCTTGACCTTGGCGGACAAAGCCATGAGCGCTTCTTGGAGGGGAGTACAGGGGTAGACGTCCTCGACGGCGTCCTTATCGATATCGCAGTGCTTGTTGGCCTCGGCCTTGACGTCTTCGATAGCCCAGTCGCTTTCAAGCAGAGAGAAGGGAGCAACCTCATTGCTATCCTTGCCATCCGCGTCTTGTGTGTCAACCTTGGTGGCGACGACAGCCATGTCTCTGAGGACGGGATACCGGAAGACATCAGCAACAGTGAGCTTGACGCCCTCCGCTCTGGCAGCAGCAATGAGTCTCATGGCCCTGAGAGAGTCACCGCCAACAGTAAAGAAGCTATCGCCAGCGGCAATCTCCTGCTCGGTACCGAGCAACTGCTTCCAGACCTTGTGAAGAGCAATCTCCATCTCGGTAGTAGGAGCACCGCCATCGCCACCCTGTTTGGCCCTCTTCGCACTACCAGAGACTTGCTCCCTGGTCATCGCAGCTCCCATAGCCCTCAGCGTCTTGCGATCAATCTTGCCCGACACAAGCGAGGGCATCTCACGAAGGGGGATATACGCATTAGGAACCATGTACCTAGGCAGATCAATGCCCAGCACCTCCTCAATCCCATCCAGCGCAGCCTGCAGCTCAGGAGAGAAGCTAACCTCACCCTCAACAACACTCTGCAAGGCGTCTTTGGCCGAGATACCCGTTGAGCTCGTCTCCGCCAGGAAAGCAACCAGCGTGGGATCACCACCACTAGGCTTGATGACCTCAGCAGCAATCTTCACACCACTTGGCAACTTGGCACGCAGATGGTGTTCAATCTCAACCAACTCCACTCTCTGGCCTCTCAGCTTGACCTGTGCATCTTTGCGTCCAACAAAGACAAAAGCCCCCGAACCATCGGCATCGTACCGGACCAAATCACCAGTCTTGTACAGCCTTCCCTTTCTGCCCGGGTGAGCATCGCCATGCCCAGCAATGAGCCACTTGGGGTCTTGGATGAACACCTCCTTGGTCTTTTCCTCTTCACCGAGGTACCCAAGTCCCACGACGGGGCCCTCCATGAGCAGTTCACCCACTGCTCCCACGGGCACGAGACGGTCATGATCATTGGGATCAACGACCCATCCGCATCCACCAACGCCGGTGCCAATGTTTCCGGTAGTGAACCCCTTCTTCTTCTTGGCCTCCTCGTCTCTCGCAAAGACATTGTTGACGGTACATCCAACAGTGCATTCACTCGGTCCATACGCAACAATCACCGATGTCTTGCCGCGCGACCAAGCAGCTGCATCAGCAGCAGAGACTGCTTCACCGCCCAAGCCAAGGACATCAAGACCCTTGATAACTTCTGGATCAAGCACTCGAGCAACGGAAGGAGTCATGTGCGCCATGTTTGCTCCGCTCTTGAGAATGGCGCCCCCGAGATCGTTCATGCGATCAGCGTCAGACGGAATGCAGATGGTTCCGCCGACAGCGAGGGTGCAGAGCATGCAATCGATGGAAACGTCAAAAGCGTAGGAAGCGAACTCGAAGCAGCGGGAAGAAGACTTGTAACCGACTGCTTCGGCGCGAGGCAGGGCGCCGGAGGTGTAGTTGGCGTGGGAGATGACGACGCCTTTTGGTTTGCCGGTGGAGCCGGAGGTGAATTGGATGTAGAGGGGACTTGTTTCTGTGGGGATCACGGGCAGTGTCACCGTGGTAAGCTCGGGGGTTTGAGAGAGGATGGTAAATAGCTCATCAGAGACGGTGATGACCTGTCCTTTGCTTCCTCCAGAAGGAGAGGGGAGACAGACCTCTGCAAGTTCAGTCTGGGAAGCAGAAGCGACGATGATGTCGCCACCGGTCTGCTCGACCATCACGCGCAAACGGCCTTCAGGCTGCGAGGTGGGATCGGTGAGAGCAAATGCGGAGCCGGCTTTCATTACGGCCAGCAAGGCGACGATAGTCCAGCGGGATTTCTCAAACATGAGCGGGGCCACGCCGCCGAGCTTAACGCCGCGGGAGACCAGGTGGCGAGCCAAAAGGTCGGACTTGGACTCCACCTCGGCGTAGGTGAACTCGCCGTCCCAGGAGGAGACGGCCGGCTTGGAGGGGTTGGCGGCGGCTTGCTCGGAGATGATGTCCTGCATAGTGCGATCGATCAAGGGGGGCACGACGGCGTTGAAGGCCCAGATCTGATTAAGATCGCAGGGGAGAGGGGCGAGGAGGGAGGAGATGGAGGTTGTCTCGGGAGAGGAGAGGATGAGGTTGAGAAGCTCGGTGAAGGCGTTCAGGCGGATGGTGACTTGGGAAGTGGTGAGAGCGTCGAGAACGTTCTTGAACCAGTAGACTTGGAGAGCGAGGTCATGTTGCTCGGCGTCTTCTGAGGGAAAGAGCTCGAGTTGGAATTTCCAGTTCTGATGATCATGTTAGTCACGGCAACTCGAACCTGGGAGGAGAGAAGACATACCAGCCGCTGAGCAGTCTCATATCCCTCTTCCTTGATCTTCTCGGGCGCCTCCTTTCCATCATTGAAGAACAAGGTCCTGTTCTCCTCTGTCACCTCTTGCCCGGTGACCTTCTTCAGCGCCTCAAGTACATTCTTCACAGTCACCGTTTGATCAAGCCCTTCAGAACCCAACACTGCCTTGACAGAGAACTGTGACGACGTTTCCGCCCCATCAGCTGTTCTCCGTCCCCAGTTGAAGTTTTCTACCCGATCATCTTCTCCTCGCTCTCTCTGGAGAAGCAACAGCCATGCTAGGAGAGATGCGTCTAGTAAGGAAACGCCGTTTTGTGTTGGTATGGACAGTGGCCTGGATATTGTCTCCAGACCTCGTGTGTCGAAGAGGTGACTGGTGGTGTTGCTGCTCTGGCCGTTGAGGCCGAGAAAAGAGAGGGCTCCTTGTACGACTTGCTGCATGGTGATGGTGGTGGTGTCTTGTCACTGGTTCCTTTTTGGGAGTACTGGATTATCGACTCGGTGGGTATGTTGGAAAGAGAGGCGTATTACTGCCGCTCTTGCGCGTGTTGTTGTGATACGTCGATGGACGGGTAAGATAGGATAGAAGATACGGTGACGTCGATGATCGACTTGAGTGATGAACGAATGGACGGAACTACACAATATGGGGTAAATAAGCGGGCGAGATGAGGACAGGACGTGGTGGAGGGTCCGTTGGTAGGAAGGAAGGACACAGATGGGAAAGGGTTGTGTATGAGTCTATTCCCGTCCTACCGTATGTCTGTATTCACACTTTATTATTTTCACTCAAGAGCAGAAGACGATGATGAAGCTGTTGGTGTCACTAGAGAAAACCGCCATGGCTGAACGTGACTGGGCCATGGCATGGTCCGGTGACAGAGCTACACGCGCGTGGCTATCACAGGGAACGAAACGAAGGAAGGTCGAAAGCATCTGGCTAGACTCACCCCACTCGGCTCAGGATGGCACCGCGTATCGGAAGTGGTGGTCGTAAGGGTCGACGACAAGGTTCCCTCCTCATCCGCGCGTGGTGCTGTGCGTGTGGGCCAAAGGTAAAGGATTCGGAATGGATCACACGCGCGAGTTTCATCCTTGATCATCACCATCTGATAAGATTTGATCCGGGACTGTGAGACGTTGAGATTGAACGTGGCGGGGACGGAACGTGGGACCTCTTTGGAGGAACCATGCTCGATTGGTGTGACACATTCATCTTTTTTTCTCTTTCTGGTCTTCATGGTGAACGGTCTGCCTTTGAAAGAATTGGTGACACCACACTCGTGACATTCATTACCAAAGAAGGAGTTCCTGCCGTCAACTCGGCCGAGCAACTCTGCCCAGTCTTCTCGGATCCGACCTCACAATTGGCCAGTGGATATGGTTTTCGCTTGGGCGTCCCCAGGGTTCAAGTGCTGGAAAAAGTGAGAAAATTTTGGTCGGTCCCCTGTCCTGTCCACCGTCCTTCGAGTGTGGAGTCCGTTTGCGTTGCCATGGTGGGGGTAAACAATGGAACCGCAAAACGGAGGCTCGTGAAGAAGAGAAGGAAAACAACGGATCATCGGATCTGATAACTTTAATGGGACAGGACCGTGTGGATTCTTCACTTCTTTCCAGGGGCTGCTTCCCAGTTTTTTTTTTTTTCTTTTTCTTCTTCAAGTCGTGTTCGTCTTTTCGCCCTTGGATTCTTTCGTGTAGGTGATTTCTACCCAGCAATGAACCGCCATCGACCTTTGTGATGGATGTTGCTGTTCTCCATTATGTATGCCGAGCGTATCGTGTGTATGGTCGTCGAGTGTGTTGATCGAGTGAGTGGCCGTGCAAAAAAAGCATCTCATCTCATCGAATTTGCTCCGGTACCACGGCATCACCACCACCAACAAGAAGCGGGCCGCCGAAAAGCGGAGGACGGGCGGGGACCGTTCGCGCCAGCGTCCCATCCAAACAAGGCCATTGACTCGTTCCATTTCCATATCCTCCACCATTGATCTTCGCTATTGCCTCCATTGTTTTCTTCGTTTATTGTGAATGCGGATTCTAGCGCGCATGAAGAGGCATTGAATCCATCCATGGTTGGCAAATGGCGACGCGCGTCAGCGTCTGCTGTGTGGTTGAATGGTAAGGCTAACATGGCTGAATCGACGCAGTTGGCGATCCCAATCACGGTGATAGCAGTATAGTCTATCTCTAGCCGTGATGAATGTGCCATTTTCCCCCCAGTGAACCAAGTTTTATGTGATATGTATATCGAAAACTCCATTGCGCCCAATCTGGATTCGATCCCAACAGACATCCTGAATCCATACAACCGACGGACGTATCCTACTTGCAACCAGTAATACTATACGCCTAGTAGCCGCCGATAATCGACAGAAATCAGTATCACTACATATCACCAGATCGTATCTTCAAAATGCCCTTCGCCGTCCTCCCCGCCCTCATCCCCGACATCAAGCCCCTCTACGACACTTACTTTTCCGCCTTCACCGCCGACCCCGACGGGCGCCAAATTCTCGAAATCCTATTTCCCGACGGCTACACCTCCGACGAGTTCCGCAAGGCGCACACCGAAGGGACCCTAGCATGGCTGCACAAAGCCGAGTCGCAGTACACCTGGAAGTGCGTCGACGTAGCCACCGGCGAAATCGTCGGCATGGCGCTCTGTGACGTGTTTATCCAGCCCAAGGCAACAAAAGAGGAGCGGGCCTATCCTGGGATCCCCTGGCTGGCGGGCGAGCAGCGGGAGAGGGCGGATCAGATCCTGGGACCGCTTTGTGAGGCGAGGGAGAAGGTCATGGGTGGTGGGGCGTATATCTGTAAGTTCTTGGGGTCTGGAAACGACGAGTGTTGGAAAGGTGAGCAGAACTAATGGGATATATATAAACAGATGTCCATGCCATCGCGGTAGATCCCAAGCATCAGGGTCGTGGTGCGGGAGCCATGATTGTTAAGCAGCTTGTCAACTTGAGCAATGATAGCAATCTGCCCATTTACTTGGAGTCGTCGGCGTCTGCCGAGGGGTTGTACAAGAAGATGGGCTTTGTAAGGGTGCCGAAGGAGAAGGCGAGCGTGGTTCATAGCAAGGAGGTATTGGGAACGGAAACGGATGTCGAGGTGCCGCTCATGATCAAGACCCCGGCGAGGACCGGCCTGTAAGGACGGACAAGGAAAAGGTTTAGTGAAGGATGGAAAGGAATGTATCAGAACTGTTGATGTGATGTCAAGAGCGTGTACGATTGAAAGGATACAATAAATACCCCATTACAGCTGTGCGAGCTGTGACTTTTTTGCATTTCAATGAGACCAAGGCCCAGCATCGAGTGATATTGGCATCAAACCCAATATCAGTTCGCCAGAGCCGCTGTTATAGCCTCATTCCGAGCCCCAACGCCATGCTACACTAGGTAGAAATCATCATCGGCAACGCTGACACTTGTCCAGTTCTCATCCTCAGTCCAGCCATATGTCGTCGCCGTCCAGTCACTAGACGTGTACACAGTACTGTATCCCGCCTTTACCTGCCCTCTGTAGTGTATCCTGTCCCGGGCCACTTGCATCACTCATCACTCTCGCGGTCTCACCTCCGCCGTCGACCGAACCGTTCGTAACTCCGATCCCGTTACCCTTTCTCTCCCTGCTTCCCCTGCTTTCCCTAACATCACGACCCTCTCCAAGAGTCACCTCCAAGACCACTGACCAGGACTACCTTGCCCAAGAGGAACAAGGGGGGGGGGAGGCAAATTTTTTTATCTGATCATCAGATAATGCAAGGACGGACGGAGCCTCTGAAGGGAAGAGCAGACATTTGATTCAGTGTGAGGCGATGATAGCAAGCACTGTGAAGAAAGAAAACGCCATGCATACGTATGCAGCAGGGTTGCAGCAGCGCATTGTCGACCTTGTACGTAAGAGGAATGTGGGATTTGGGAGGAAAAACGGAATTGAACTTGAACTCCACTTGGTTGGAAGTTGGAGTTGTCGTCGTTACCGTCCAAAGACAGAGACTTGACACGGGCAATGTTGTCGTGAATAAAGTGATGGATCAAAAGTCCAAGTTCTTCTGTTCAACCTGATCATGGCATGGTGCTTTTACGTTCGGTCGCGATCTCATTGCAGTGAGTGAGAAGCGGAAGCATTTCAAGAGGTGCCTGCCACAAAGGAAGAGTGCGGTGAACAAAACCTACATCAAACTCCCGGCCCGAGGTCAATCTACCTTGGCCATGCAGTGAGACCCGAGCCGACCGAGAGCTGAGGTGAAATCTCTCGGATCAGATAAGATCTTTGCACAAACCCCAAGGGGGTGGGTGTATGTATGCACAAGGAGAGAAGAGAAAAAACAAAAAAAAAAAAGGACGAACAACGAAGACGAAGGACGAAACAAGAAAAAGATCTGATAAAAACGAACGAGCAGGCCAGGATGCGTTGGTGACTCTCGTCAAAAACCAGGTACTTTACCAGGGCAGGGGAGCCGCAACCAAAGCTTACAAGCTTGCAAACAAAAAGGCCCGTGAAGATGCTTGACTAAAGGGCCGGCGGAAAAGGGAAAAGGGGAAGCAAAGCACAATATGGCCAAGACGTTTTTTTGCGTCTTTTTTGCCGTTTGTTGGTCTTGGTCCCCAGCCCCGGGCCAACGAAGAATGTGTTTGTTTGCATCATTGGCTCCTGTCGCTGTCCCACGGTCCCACCCCGCCGTCAACAAAGTGGAGTCGGGTCGGCAACAGGAAGTGAACGCGCAATGGTGGGGTATTCCAGAGGAGAAAAATTTTTATCAGATCCGTCCGGCCTGTCGTTTTTGGTTATCAGATCCGCCTTTGCCAAGCCCCGGCATCGGGTTTCCATCATGTAGTGACACGGTGCAACTCCATCCGGGGGGGGGGGGGGGGGGCATCCACCGGCACTGCTGCAGAGAGTAGGATAGAGGAGTCGATGGTGGGCGGGCGGAAAAGGGGGGTGGGTGGGTGGCAGGTAGGTGGTGGTGTGGGAAAACGGCGGGACACACGAAGAAGGGGACAAGGCAAAAAAAAAATGTCATTTTCCACTACATACTCCCCCATGACACCTTGAGGTGGATGGAACTGAAAGTCGAAGAAGAAGAAGAGAAGAAAAGAGTGTTGACATGCTCCATCCATCCAGCCAGTCGGTCGGTTCTGTTCTTTGGCTTGTTGATCTGATCTGATCTGTCTTTTCGGTCGGAATCTTTGAACCCAGAACCAGACCCAGACCCAACCCAACCCTTTCACTCATCCATCCATCAATCCACGGAACGTTCCGGCCCTCTTAGATTTCCCATTCGCAATAACAAAATCTCTTTTCACTTTTACCGTTCATTCTCCCAATATCTCCAAACATCTGCATGAGGTGAACAAAAACAAACAAAGGGAAAAGTGGGTAGGTAAACAAAAAAAACAGCAGGACGAAAGAAAAGGGGGCGGTAAACCGAACTCACCCGCGGATATAACCACCATCCATCCCTTTTCACCATGTCCGCTGAGGAAAAGGGCCTGGCTGAGAAGCCGGCAGCAGCGCCTGAGACACCTGTAGCTGAGACGGCAGTTGCTACACCACCACCACCACCACCAGCACCGCCAAAGGAACCGGTTAGTAGATTACCCCAACCCAGTTTCATTGATATCTTATCGTCATGTCGATGATGATATCGATATCGATTGATACTCCCATGGTGACCATCTGGCCTAGTGGTTGGGTTATCGATATGGTGGTGATGTTGATGTTGTTGTTGATGCCCATTCAGGGGTTAATGTCAACACCCACCACTTGACATACAACCTTTTACACATAACCTACTAACACCCATCCTCACCACCACAGCTCACCAAGAAACTCTTCGGCTACGTCCGCATCTTCTTCTCCGCCGACCCAACATGGACCGACTACCTCCTCCTCCTCATCGGCACCATCTCCGCCCTGGCAGCCGGCGTGCCCTTCCCGCTCATGGGCATCGTCTTCGGCCAACTGGTCGATGACATGAACGGCGCCTCGTGCGCGGCCGAGCAACATGACGCCAACCCTTTCCGGTACGAACACGACATCAACGACAAGGTGCTCATCATTGTCTACATCGCCATTGCCGCCTTCTGCCTCATCTACATTTACGTGCTCTCGTGGAGTCTCATCAGCCAACGTCTCGCCGCCCGCCTCAGGAACAACTATGTCTCTGCTCTGCTGCGCCAGCCGCCCGCCTTCTTCGATACTCGTGCCGCTGGTGGAGAGGTTAGCACCCGGTTGCATGGCGACATGGCGGCGCTGCAGGCGGGTACGTCGGAAAAGGTGGGCGTGTTGCTGGCTAGTATCAGCTTCTTCATCACTGCCTACGTCGTGGCTTTTATCAAGCAGGCCAAGTTGGCTGGTATCTTGATTTCCATGATCCCGGCTTATCTCGCCATGGGTCTGGTGGGCGGTGCTTACTTCCAAAAGTACATGATCAAGGCCGCCGGCGCCATTGCGAGCGCCTCGTCCATTGCCTCCGAGGCTCTCAAGAACGTCATTGTCGTCCAGGCTTTTGGTGCCGCGCCCAGACTGGAGGCCAAGTTTGCTGATCACATGGCTACGGCTCGGGATGCCGGTATCAAGAGAGGCATGTCGGCTGCCGTTCAGGCTGGTCTGCTGTACTTCATCGCCTACGCCGGTAACGCGCTGGCTTTCTGGGAGGGTTCGCGCATGGTGGCGGATGCCATGGCTGGCAAGGGCACCGAGACTATCGGTCAGATCTACACCGTCATCTTCATCTTGGTCGATGCTTGCGTTGTCCTTGGTAACATCTCTCCCCTGCTGCCCCTCCTGGGTGGTGCTCAGGCTGCTTTCGACAGACTGATGAAGGACATCGAGGAGCCTTCCCCCATCGACGGTACTTCCGACAAGGGCGTCGTCCTTCCCTTTGAGACTCGTGGCGAGATTCGCTTCGAGAATGTCTCCTTTTCCTACCCCAGCCGCCCTGATCAGCTGGTCTTGAAGAACGTCGACTTGGCCTTCCCTGCTGGCAAGCACACTGCTATTGTCGGTCTCAGTGGCAGTGGCAAGTCCACGGTGGCGGCCATGATCAGCCGTCTCCAGGATCCCAACTCTGGCAGAATCACCATGGACGGCTACGATCTCAAGGAGCTCAACGTCCGCAGCCTGCGCTCGTTCATCAGCTTGGTCCAACAAGAACCCTCTCTTCTCGACCGCTCCATTCTGGAAAACATTGCTCTCGGCCTTATCAACTCTCCCAAGCCCGAACACCAGCGTCTCAAGGACATCCTCCACAGCCACGAGCTGGCCGACTTGGCCAAGAAGGGCAAGGACTCCATCGATCCCGCCATCGTCAGCTCCTTCGGTCCCCTCGTCCAAGAGATCATCAACCTCATCCAGCATGCCGCCACTGAGGCCGACGCCGCTGGCTTCATTGAACGTCTCGAGAAAGGCTACGGCACCTATGCCGGTCCCTCTGGTTCCATGGTCAGTGGTGGTCAGCGCCAGCGTGTTGCCCTCGCCAGAGCTTTGATCCGCGATCCCAAGATCCTTCTCCTCGACGAAGCCACTTCCGCCTTGGACTCTGCCTCTGAGCGCCGCATCCAGGAAGCCGTCGACCGTGCTGCCAAGAGCAGGACCGTCATCTCCATCGCCCATCGTCTGTCCACCATCCGCAACGCCGACAAGATCGTCGTCATGGAAGCCGGCAAGGTCATCGAGGAAGGATCCTACGACGAGCTCATGGCCAAGGAGGACGGTGCTTTCGCCAAGATGGCCAACCTCCAGACTCTTGGTACTGCTCACAAGGCCGAAGCCGGCTCTTCTGTCTCTGGCGAGTCCATTGACTCTTCCTCTTCCGCCACTGGAACCTCTGTCGAGAAGCCCTCTGCCCCTGAAGTCGCTGTTACTCCTGCTCCAGCTCCCGCTGCCGCCGAGGCCGCCGCTCCCAGTGGAGACGAGATTGCCGGCCTCGACACTAACCGTCCCCTGAGCAGCGTTGTCCGCTCCCTCGGCCGCTTCCTCCGCCCCAGTCTCGGCTGGCTCGTGATCGCCATCTTTGCGGCCGTCATTGTCGGTGGTACCTTCTCCGGCTCCGGTGTTCTCTTCGGCTTTACCATTAGCTCTCTCAACCCTTGCAGCGGCAGCATGGACAAGGTCCTCTACTACGGCAAGTTCTTTGGTGGCTTCCTCTTTATGCTTGCCTGCATTGAGTTCTTGGCCAACTTTGCGGCCTGGTCGTGCTTCGCTCTCATCGCCGAGAAGCTCCTCTACGCCATGCGCGTGCTTTCCTTCCGCTCTTTGATGGAGCAGGGCGTGCAGTGGCACCAGTCCGAGGGCCGCAGCCCATCCTCGCTGTTGACCATCATCACCAAGGATAGCGCTTCGGTGGGCGCCTTCTCCGGCTCCACCATCGGCACCGTCTTCTCCATCTGCGTCAACTTCATCGCCGCCATCATCTTGTCTCACATCTTCGCCTGGAAGATTGCCATCGTCTGCCTCTCCATCGTGCCCATCCTCCTCGGCACTGGTCTGATGCAGCTCCGCATGCTTGCCCGTTACGAGGAGCGCCACGCCGAGGCCTTCAACAGAGCCACCTCCGTGGCCGTCGAAGCCGTGCAGACCATCAAGACCGTGGCCGCCCTCTCGCTCGAGCACGAGGTGCTCGGCTCCTACCAGCGCCTGCTCAAGAACAACCGCGACGAAATGGTCAAGGCGGCTGCCTTTACCAACATCTGGCTGGCCCTCGCCAACTCGATCTCCTTCCTCGTCTACGCCTTTGCCTATTGGTGGGGTTCGCAGCGTATTATGCACGGCGAGTACTCGCAGCGCGACTTCTTCATCGTGTTGGTCGCCATGCTCGTGTCCGCGCAGCTCTGGGGCCAAATGTTTTCTTTGGCGCCCGAGTTCTCTCGTGCCCGTCTCGCCATCTCCCGCATTCTGGGCGTCATCGGCCTTGGCTCCAATGACCACGTGCACGATTCCTCTTCCCCCGCTTCAAAGACTACCGACCCCGAAGCCACCGGCGAATCCTCCGCCTCCCGCCTCTCCCCCCAAAAGAAGTCGGGCGTACAAATCACCTTCTCTGACGTCTCCTTCGCCTACCCCTCTCGCCCGGACCATCCCGTCCTCGACTCCGTCTCCTTCACCATCCAGCCCGGCCAATTCGTCGGACTCGTCGGCCCTTCAGGAGCCGGCAAATCCACCATCATGAACCTCGTCCAACGTCTCTACTCCCCGACTTGGGGCTCCATCACCATCGACGGCGTCGACATCTCCTCTACCCAATCATCCAACACCTTCCGCGACTCTATTGCGCTCGTCCCGCAAGAACCCGCCCTGTTCGACGGTTCCGTCAAGTTCAACGTCGGACTTGGTGCGCGCCCAGGCCATGAGGCTTCAGACGCCGAAATCGAAGAAGCGTGCCGTCTTGCCTCCATCCACGACGTCATTGCTTCGTTGCCGGAGGGGTACGAGACGGAATGCGGCGCCTCGGCGTCTAGATTGAGTGGCGGACAGAGACAAAGACTGGCGATTGCGAGAGCACTGGTCAGGAAGCCGAGACTGTTGTTGTTGGATGAGAGTACCAGCGCCCTGGATGCCGCTAGTGAGGCGGCACTGCAGGAGGGGTTGGAAAAGGTGGCGAGGGATACGACGGTGTTGGCGATCACGCATAGATTGCATACGGTGCAGAAGGCGGATGTGATTTTTGTGGTGGAGGGCGGCAAGATTGTGGATAGGGGGACGCACAGCGAGTTGATGGCGAGGAGGGAAAGTTACCGGGTGAATGCCATGCAGCAGATGTTGCAGTGAGTGTTGTTGCCTCGGTGTTGGAGCATGCTGTGGTGGAAGACGCATGCCTCTGGAGGACCTAGTGAGGGCCGGGGAATGATGACGACCTCGTCTTGAAGGAGAGTTGGTGGGTGGAAAGAAAAAGAAGTTATTGATGTGATGCGTATTGTTGTTACGGGTTTTGAGTCATGATACCATATCCCTTAGTACTACTACCTACCTACCTATTAGCCGATTTCGTAATCTTAGTCTTGATCATGTTTCGTTTCTTTCAACACTACCGCTCGCTGTCTTTGGTGTCTGCGGTGGGCGACGAGTGGCGGGGTACATCAACCCGTCACTTCCGTTCACTTCTTCCACTTCGAAATCTTGCTCTTGCATTCATCTTTTGGACACTTCTCGCCGCAATTCACTGCATTGTCCTCTATTTGCCCACTTTTTGAATGGTCACATTTTTCTTTTTCCCCTCGAGTATTGCCTTGGAGCCACAGAAGAGACCCTGGGATAGCAAACGGCTGGTAGGCGGAGCACACCCCAGAAACAAAACAACGTTGGCAGGTGCGGCGTTTGCCAACAATGCAATGCCATAGCAACTTGCCGCTTTGATGGTCATCACAAAATTAGACATCACAAGGGACGGTTTTTCGAATACGAACGAATTATGCCAACAGGTATAAGAGTTGGGATCGGAAATTCGTGCACCCCCAAAGTTTGTTTTCGGCTTTGATCGATGTCGCTCACCCCAACCTTCCAGCAGCATACCCTACTGGGACTATATAACCACCAAAGTATGGACCTCCTACCACGGTCCAGCAGCCTATGTGGTAGTACGCTGGGTCCAGAAAATACGTGGTATTCTCGTAGGTAGCCATCTGGTCGGTCGTATCCTCCTTAGTTGCGAGTTCGATCCCGATCTTGTGGAGCTGAGCTTTTTGTTTTTTTCTTTCTATCAGATGCCGCTTCGAATGCGAAATTCGTTCGCTTTTTTCTTGCGCCGGGACCTCGTGAGGATATTGGCGTTTTGGAAAGCAGACCAAGATCTTGTAAGAGGAAGGGCCCCATTGGCCAGCACATGATCCGGGGTACGTGGAAAAGGCGCTTTGAACTGAAGGACGCCTTCGTATAATCTCCCACGGACACTCCGTCGTATCCTTCACGTCAATCACGAACCCTCAAACTCGTAATGACTTCCCCAGGCTCTCCCGACTCCGCATCACGAAGGGAATGAAAGTTCTTAGCATGGCTCAGGCCCTGGACACAATACCGCCCGGACAAGGCAGACGATGTAGGAACCGGGCAAACTTCCAGGAAGAAAAGGTTAAGAGGACACAATATCCTGCTTCTGTCTCCCTATTTTCAAGCACCAATCTCTGAGTCGTCCACACACCCTCGCCCACAAGCTCTTCTTCACCACATCCACGACCATCAACTCCAAGTCCAAAATGAAGTCCCTCCTCACTTTCATCACCCTCGCTGCCGGTCTCGTCGTCGCTCAAGATCTCTCCGAAATCCCCGCTTGCGCTCAACCCTGCATCGTCGACGCCGTCTCCTCCGCCACCACCTGCTCGCTGTCCGACTACAAATGCTGGTGCACGGCAGAAAACGAGCCAGCCATTGTGCAAGCCGGGACGGCGTGCGTGTTGGCGAACTGTGGGACGGATGTTGCTGTTAGTACGTATTTCTCTCCCTTGTTTCGCCATTTGTAAGTACACTTTACCTTGTATTTTGGTGCCGTGTCAGGAGGGGAGACAAAAAAAAAGAGACAAATGCTAACGGCGAAATGGGATTGCCGAGGTGAAACAGACAAAGTCCTCCCTGCTGTCGAGACGTTCTGTGAGGAGGTAAATGCTTCCTAAAGTATTGAGAGAGAAAAGCAATGTCGACGAGCATAACGCAAACGACCAAGCATCGGATTTGGTGGGGATACTCATCATGGAAGTTAGAAATTACTAGGTATTTAGGAGACCAACCGACATCCTGTAAGATAATCAATCACAATCCGGGGTACATACGTCCATCACTTCTTTTGTGACAACCTCCCCGGACTCTCCTCACTGGCACAATGCACATCAATGCAGGCACCCCATCTTGTTCAAACCGGGAATTCAAAGGGCGCAACATCCTGCTTTCTCTCTCTCATATCCAAGAACTGAGAAGCCAAGGTATGCTGCGAGCATAATCACAAGGAAGTGATATAAATGACCCTGCTTTTGGGGCTAACTCTACTTGACTTTTTACCAATTAACCACCATCATCACCACCTTATCCCACAAAGTCCAGTACCACTTCCAAAATGCAGTTCCTCCCTATCATGGTCGCCCTCGTCACCAGCCTCGTCGGCGCCCTCGACTCCAGCGACTCCAGTGATGATCACCACCCCGTCTGCAAACCGAAAGTCCCCGACTTCTCCCAGATCCCCACGTGCGCCACTCACTGCATAGTCGGCTCCGCCAGCGCATCCACCCCCTGTGCGACCATCCCTCCCGACTACAAGTGCTGGTGCACGCCGGTCAACTTTGCGGCCATCATCCAAGCTGGCACTGCCTGTACGGTGGCGTCGTGTGGGGAGGATGTTGCTAATAGTGCATACCTCTACCTACTACTTCTTTTAATTCATTCTCTGGGAGTTTGCAAATTGGAGTTGGATGATACTAATGATGGTGGTTCAAAATCGGTGCAGCCATGGCCCTCCCTGCGTTTCAGCAGTTCTGTTGTGAGGTTAATGCTCGTGGTATCATCTGGTAAAGTCCTGGTGGCTGGGACAAGATACCGGAGGGAGCAAAGCCGATGGAGAGCGTTGAATTTGTGGCATTTGGTAATGAATACCTATGTAAAGTCGCTTGGATCGAGCAATTGTTGGTGACAGAAACCGAAGGAAACCTTGATGGCCACTGTTGGCGATAAGCCCCGATAAGGCCCAGGTTTATACACGGCAGAGGCAGGTACTGCTACCGGTGCTCCGTGATAAGACCCATTTGCGAGTACGTTTAGGCCCTTTCTTATCCTGTGCAACAAAGCGCTTCAACCCGCTGCTCCTCCCACTGTATGGTGACGCGTTCTAGTTTCTATTTGTCCCTCCAGCTAACTTTAGCGAAAGCATCAAGCAGGTGTAAGAACCCGATTTCGAGCTCTAGGTCCCGCTCTTTCAAGCCACTTGACCTTTTCAAGGACGAAGAGAGCACACCAAGATGTTGACATCAGCGGTCTTTCTCCGAGCGACCTCCTTTGGCATTCCGACGGCTCAACCGCCCAGAACAGGTTTCGGAAGGAGCTTCACAGCCATTGCACGATGCGGTCTCCTCTTTCAGAGCAAAGGAGGACCATCAGTTACCTTTGCCGATAGAATCCGGCAAGAGAAGTCGCTTACTCCGAGAGTCATACCCAGCCTCAACAACTTTACCCAAACGTTCCACACCAGCGCGGTGTGCCGCTCTAACTGCGACTGGGGCCGCCCCTGCGATTGCTCTGAATGCAGGGAAACGTTCAGGGAGCCCATTTGCGAGATCTGCAAAATAAACCAGACTGAACATCAGACTGTGGAGAGGTGCCTTCAGTACGGCGACCATGGTGAGGGTTACGAGACCTACAGAGTTACTTCATTCTGCAAACAATGTTGGGGGAATGAAGAAAGCGAAGGTACTGATCAATCGCCCAATCATGGATCACTGGGCTGGCGGATGACGGATATGAGAGACCGGAGCTGGGGAGAAAGAGTTCCGATCAGTTATGCACTGGACAAGGTTGAGAGCGACTTGGGAGGCTTTCGCAAATCACGGCGTTGGTACCAACAAGACCTACTAACCCGGTTGGATAGCGAACTCGGCATTTGGAAAATCCGTGGTGAGTACATGTGTGCAAAGGAACGCGTTGATTATATGAGGTTCGACTTGTGGTACTCGGTGAAGCGGGAAAAGAACAAAGGAGCAAAAAGCGCGTAGCTTTGCGGTTGATAGGAGCCACATTTCTGTAGGCTCCTCTGTGTGGAAGCACGTATGCTTGTGATTCGGATGTTGCGCGTGTCCGTGGAGCTATAGTTCGACACAATAGTTATGTAAAGCTAGGTATCTATGATCACAAGAAAACTTTCCAATCTTTTCGTCAGTTTGAACGACATAGAGGAAGGGCGGTATTCCCCTTGTTGACGTCAGGCACCGCTTATCTCATCGGCCTTATCGATAGACAGGTGGCTATCAAGGTTCTCACTCTTCCTCTGTGTACCTCGACCTTGCGTTCCACCTCATAGTCATCAGAATACCTCTATTCCCGAGGCTGAAGATATTTGCAAAATGCACGAGACATAGCTTGTACACTTCAGAAAATTGAGATACACCTTAGGTTGTTCTCATACTATTCAACCCAGCGCCTAAAGGTAGGTTAACTATCCCCCACCCCCCCCAGACCTTAAGTTCTCTTCACCTCACCATCCTCACAACCCTCACCCTCGAATTTCCCGAACCCACCATCCTAACCCTCCACACCCTTCTGACCCTCCTCGGAGGCACGGTCCCCCCCCGGCGCATTAACCTATCCAATTCCAAATCCCTACCCGCTTCAGGTGGTGCCAGAGGAAACGCCCACACCTCACCCACCCCTCTCTCCCAATACTTCCCCCTCCTCGCCTCTTCCCTTAGCCACTCCTCGCCCACCCCCCCATGCTTCCCCAAGCAAATCCGCAATCCAGCGGGTTCTCCCGGTCCGCAAACCGGTGCTTGCGGGCGTTGCGCGCCCACTACCGTCGCGAGTGCCGCTTGAATTGGTGCGTGGCGGCCCATTCAAGACATTCGTTCCACCAGTTTTCGAACCAGCTTGCGTGGCATTGCTTCACATGGGACTTTGCTTGTTGTAGGGTGATCAGGTAGCTGGGACCGGTGCGGATGAGGTGGTAACGGGCACCGGTCTGGGAGCAGGAGACGCGGTAGTGGATTTTGTAGATGTAGTTGGGGCGGGGACGGGAGGGAGGAGGAGGAGGAGGATGAGGAGGAGGAGGATGGGGATAGGGGGTGGGATTGTATGTTGCTGGTGAGATGGCGCTGGTCGAGTACCCCCCGATAGGTGGCTGGTGAGGGGCTGTGTAGTCCATTGTTTTAGGTGTTTGGTGTCGATGCTTCTCGGTTTTATTTGTAGCTTTCAGGTATCGCACGCTGCGATCGGGATGGTGTTGATCTCGATTGTGATTTGGGCGCGGGAGTACCGAACTTGCTGTTCTGGATTGATCTGTTGGTTTTAATGGAGATGGCATAGTAGATGAAGTGCAAGAAAGGAGGAGACATTGTAGTCTACAAACTTGGTGACTTTGCAAGCGCGTGTGATGCGACTTTGGGTCAGGTTGCTGCTTGTCTCTTGTTGGCCGAGTTGATGATTGGAGCTGCGTAGACGTTGGTCCTAGAAGTTGACCTTGTTGATTGAGGCACTGGAAATGAGATACCTCGTGCCTATTGTTGAGAGCGCAAAGAAAGACTATCTTAGGGGGGCTTGCCAAGTAGACATCGTGGGAAGAATTTGATTGAGCTGGGAGACACCGAAGTGATGGTAATTGATGGAAGAAGTCCGGAAGACCATTGTGTTCTGATCCACAGAGGCATTTTAAAGACCAGGCGAAAGGTATGCAGCATCTACGAAAAAATAAAGGCAATAGGTTTTTGTTGTCCTTTGGCGTCTGGGCATTGCCCTTTAGTTTCACACAGCCTGGTATGGAACAACTTCGGTCCACATCGCCCAGCTTGCATGCATGCGTACAGTCAGGTGCTTTCTTCGGAGATTCGATTGATCTTCTCCGGGCCGGTGATGGACAGGATGGGCATTCGTAGGTACTGTCTCCTCACCAGCGTTTCCTTTCACGGCATGTCCAGCTCCCTAGATACATCCCTGGGTGATTCTTTCCAGGTGTGCATCGATCCAATTGTCGACGGTTCCTTCTCCATTTACCTGCTCGAGATTCATCCGATGCTAAGATACCTAATCCGTGGTTTACCAAAGGACGTTTCACCTTCAAGTGCAATTGAAGCTTCATTGTTGTGTTTTGGAGGGTAACAGTCTAAGAACGCATCATTATGGGTACAAGTACGGTACAAGTTTTGTATCTCAAATATCCTCCTCTACCTGATATTTAAACCCTCTACTGACAGATCTCGTCCTCCATGAGATTTCTCACCCACTCTATCCAGTTTGTCCCTTCTAAACCTGAAACAGAGATCCACCCCTATAGATCCGATCCGCACTTAGACTCTAAGGGATACCGCCGTATCGTACACTCCCCCTACTGTACAGTACTTGTAACCGTAATAATACAACCACCGTGAACACGGTCCTGGTTCCGGTGATAATATACCAACTCCTTCTCTTGATCCTTTCTCAAACAAGCAAAATCAAAACGCCGCGCGCCATATTTGTTGGTATAATGTTTCTTCCGCCCGTGATAAAACAATTAATTCCATCTTTTTGCCCACAACACGCCGCACACGTTCCGTAGAACGTGTAGCCACATATGAAATGAGAACCAACACCTTTTTTTCAACTGCAACTTCCATCATTGTCAACTTGCTGCTTGAGAGACACTAGGCCCGGAAGACCCCGGCGTGCCCGGGCCCCCTTGAACCATAGCCATCAACCCCCTCAGCTGCCCCATGCCCATTGTGCGACTCCTCGCTCTCGTAAGGCCCCCAGGGTCAATGGGACTCCATCCAGGGACGTCGTACAAGCTCGTAGGTGGTCCGCCGAACTGACCGGGAAGCGGACTGGGCAGGTGTGGTGCATTGGGACGAAGGGGTCGGCGACCAAAAGTCGCGTGTTGCAATCCTCTGGGCACGTTGGAACCTGCACCGAGCCTCGGATCGATGTTAAACCCTTGCCCTTGATGAGATGGTTGATCTCCCATAACGACATCTTCCATTCCCTGTCCTTGTCCACCTCCAGGCCCGGGTCCGTCGGAACGCGAGAGTCCAGCTCCACTACTGGTAGCCGACCCCGGAAGCGGTGCTTGGCCATGAGCATATGCAGAAGCAGCATTCCATATTCCAGGCTGTTGCTCCTGATGCATCATCGAACTCGCATTGTGTCCCTGCGCCGCGCCTATCCCAGACGCTTGACCCAAGTCTAACCCTTGGCTCAGCCCCATTCCCGGCATTTGCTCAGTCAGACCTGGCTGTGCTTGTGCCATACCAAAAACGCCGGCACCACCACCGGTGTCTAGATGCAACACTGAGCTTGGCCCGATCCGCATGCCCCCGGGTCTCGTCGTAGCCCACATATAGAGGGGCTCGGCGAATTGCTTCCTACTCGTCGGGGTCGCACTGAGTGCTCTCATGAAGACATCGAGCAGGTCGACGTCCTCGTCGTCCTCGTAGTCCATGATCTGATCGGCTGGGGAGCTGGTTGCTGACCTGGCAGCCTGCTTGTTCTTTCCAGAGGCTGCGCTGTGTCTTCGACCAAAATTGGGCAAGGTAAGAAATTGCCCCTCCAAAGAGGCCTTGTCGTACGAATCCAGCACGTTCATACACCAAGCACCAATTTCAAAGATCTTTTCAAAAATTCCCATCCCGTTGACCTCCAGCGCTGCCACACCTGTTGCCTCCAAGCCCCCGATTTGCATAAGAGACCGCAAGACCAACCCAGTTTGCCTAGCGATAGTCAAAGGAAGTGCGAAATGCATACTCTCATTCTCCGCAGCCCATGACAGATACCCCTGTCGCAGCGAGGAAAGCCAGATAATCAATCTGAGCCACTGCTGCGTTACTAACAGCTCGGCGGTTTGGGACGGTGTCGGTTCTACCACTGGAGCTACAGGGTCCTCAGGCGAAGAAGAAATTGATGAGGATGAAAGCGAAAGGTCGGAGAAGCCGCAAGACTGGGAAACCGGCATCTGTATGGAGGATACGGCGGCATTGGGAGAGGAAGGGAAAAACGGGTGTGGGATGGACAAGCCGCCTGAACTGCCGGCTGGTCGAGCAAGTTGGTTCTGCAGAGCGAGGTAGGTATTGACGTCGACGGTGGAGTTGGAACCATAGGTCCATGCTTCGATGATGGAGTCACGAAGGGGAATGTAGATGCCGAGAAGTTGGAGAAAACCGGTGTGGATGCCGCGGGATTCGTAAGCGTGAAGAGTCATGGGAAGTTTGGGTGTCCGGCGCAGCATGAGCGGCTTGTTGCGTAGAATTGCGAATGACCTGCCTTTGTCAGATTGCGTTTCATTACAGAGCTGAGGAAAAAAAAAAAAACAGGATAATGGAGACTTACCGTTCCATAACATACAACAGCCAGAACACCCTCTGCCGACATAGAGCCTCCTCGGGCGATAAGCCTGCATAAGTCGACTCATCCTCCAAGCCCAGCTCCTGCGCAAAGGTTAGGGCCTCTCTCAGGTAGACCCACGCCTTTGTGCTTTGGTTAGTCTCGAAGAAGGAAGAAGCCAGAAACATGGACGAAACAACCGTGCTCAACGAAATGTTGTCATACAAGTCATATTGCTTCCTAACATCTAAGCAATCGTTGAGCAGGAAACGACCTGCCTGGTCCCAGAATTCGGGACTGTCTTCAGCACCGAGGCTGTGACCCGACATGCGGAAACAGGTGAGAGCCGAAAGGGAAAACAGGAGGTTCTTTTCGGGGAGATCGCAGACTCGTGGGTCCATTCGTTGTATTTCGGGCATGTACAGGACAGGCATCACGGGATACAGGTGTTGATAGAAGAGTTCTACACATTTGGGTATAAGGTAGAGAAATGCGCCTCTTGATGGGAATATGTGTTCGTTGGCCCAAAGGCCGGTTGTTTCGGGGGCTGTGCTCACGTCGGAGGCCCAAGTTGATGAGACGGAGGCGTTTTGCGGGAAGATGTCGGTATTATTTGACCGGGCTCCGTCGCTTACCTCCGGACTGGGTTTGGTTAGCACTGCGGCTTGACACTAGAAACAGGGGGGGGGGCTACTCACTCTCCAGAACTGCTTGGACGTTGTTCTTCCTTCTTTCCTGCCTCGCGTTCTCTGAGTCTGTTGATAAGACGGCCACGGCCGGGTCTCGGCCCTCTCTTACGCGGCACGTGGTTCCTGGTACATTGAAGCTTCGCGTCTATGCAAGGTTGACAAGGTGACTGGTAATCGCATCTGATTCCTGTGAACAAGCGAAGCAGGGTTAGCCTTTTGTGGTTATTTTCCGGGTCTGGCAATCAGGGTTCTATGGCTGACCAGGATCGACATATCGCATCGACACCGACAGAATGGGCCATGGAACATGCGCTCAGGGTACGTGGAATCAGATCTGAATTGTGGGCAAGACTCACTCCTTAGTCGGCACTTGTCGCAAACCTTGGGCGGCTGGACGGGTCTATTCGAAGACCCAGCAGCACTGGTGGCATTGGAGCTCGAGGAAGGGCGAGGGCTTTGTTTGGTGCTCGTGCCTGGCTCAGTCTTTAGGCGGACGATTTGTGCCTCGGGGCTGGAGCTTCCTCTTGATTCTTCTTGGTGTGACAATTCCATTAGCTGTGTGGTAATATGGTATGGTTGGTGCAGTATGGTGTATAGCAGTTTGAATGGACACTGGATGTCGATGTGATGATAGGATGAATAGATATGTTCTAGACAACTGGAGATGGGTTCTCCGACGAGACGGCATGCATTGATAACTGCGCCGAAAAGACAACTGACGCAACCCAGGCAGGATCGCCAAGTTGCCTCGACGTCTTCCATGTGCTCCCATCCACATGGACATCATGTTGATGACTCTATCCAGTGAGGTGCCAGTGACTTGCTCTCCACCCAGTCCACCTTTGCTTTACCCCGGAAGAGCGGAACCTCAAAGGCGGAACGGGGCGGGATCCCATTCCCAGGGCAGACCAGACCAGACCAGAGCGACTACCTAGAGACCTGAAGCCCTGAGTACCTAGGCAAGGCGAAGAGCAGGAATTGCAGGGCTGAGGAGAGAGCCGCAGGAGATCCATCGTTGGCCAGAGGCTCGAGGTCCGTCCCTCGTCCTCGACTACTATTGGTGTTCACCATCGTTTGTAAGCGGAAGTAGGAGTGGATGGAAAGCTAACTACGGTAGCCAGGTACCATTGATGTCCCGCCGTCATCCATCAATTTTGGCGCAGTT